AGTGACTTGTAGAACTCTCTTGTACTGTGTTATTTTCTTTAAAAAATTAATATATATCATTTATTGATGAATTTTCAAAGTTTGTGGATTTATTTTTTCACACACAAGTTTGAAGTGTTTACAACTTTAAAAAATTGGAAATTTCAAGTTGAAACTCAAACGTGACACAAGGTGAAATATTTATATAAGGATAATGGCGGGGAGTATATATATATATATATATTCCAAGGAGCACAAAGAGTAGATTATTTCTTGTCATTTCACCACGATTTATATTTTGTAACGGAGTTGTTTTTAGAGTCTCAATCAAACCGTGTTGGAAAAAATACGAAGTATGGTATGTTAATCTCGTTTACTATATGAATTTTGGGTTGAGGTTAACAATACCGTAGTATATTTGGTAAATTATTCTCCTTCTAGTGCAATCGATTTTTTTTCACACCATTTGAACTAAGTCACAAACATATGACTAATTATAACCGTTTGAGAATTTTTTGTTATATTGCATATACTCTCAAACTCAAGGTGCATAGTATTAAGTTAGATCTTACATTCAAGAAGTGTCATTTTTTTGGATTTGTTACTAGTGTGAAGGGTTATAGTCTCTAGGATCTAGTAGTATTCAATCAAATTGAAAGAAGTGGAGATTTCTCGAACTATCTATACTGACAGAAATAAATCTTACTTCATTGATGTTGTTGAAGGGAAGATTGATTATTATGTGATTAACGATGTATCACGAAGTGAAGTTTAAGAGCAACAAGAATTAGAATAGTAGATCATTGTTGGTGAGCCTTAAGCATCTGCACCAAACAATCAAGATCAATTGGAATTTTCTATACTAGAAAATTATCAAATCAAATTAGTAGAGTTCTTGTTAGATAATGTATGTGCTGAGTCATCCATTCTTGAATATTATGATATTAATGCAGACAATGATGATGGCGTTGCGTTGATCTTGGAAGAAAAAAAGCTTTCTTCTTACAAACAAGTTCAAGCTTGAGTTAATAAACTTGAGTGGGATGTTGCTATGGAGCGAGACATGCGATGAATGAATGACAACAAGAGTTGGGAGTTAGTTGAACTTCATAAGAATCAAGTATTGATTGATTACAATGGATGTACAAACTAAAGGATTGTTCAGAAGGAGACGAGTGGAGTATATTCAAAGTCAAGTTAATGGCTAGAGGTTTCACACAAGAGAAATGTGTGAACTATAACAAAGTTTTCTCTCCCGTAGCAAAATATGCTACGGGAGAGAAAACTTTGTTAAAAAGAGTATTATTCGTCTAGTATCTCCACTGCTTGCAACATTTAATCTTGTTATGGTACATATGAACGTAGTTATAGCATTTCTCTACAAATGATAAGATTTTCAATCTTATCATTATAGTACTCTAAGTAGATAATATGTTCTTTGTATGTGACAAAGAATCAATTCAATGTTAATAGATACAAGAACCAATTAAAATTTGCATTCAAAATGAAGGATCTTGGTGAATTCGAGAGAATATTAGGTATGAACATTCTTATGAATTTGGTAAAGAAAAGGCTATGGTTGAGTTAAGTTAAATACATTCAACGTGTATTTGACAAGTTTGACATGATACTAAAGAAGTTTGGACTATGATAGCAACACATTTAAAAATTCCCACAACTCATGTATTTGATGGTGTACACAATGTCTATTATTTCTCTAGCAATAGACAAAATGAGCAGATGCATATCAAATCCAAAAAAGATTCAATAGGAAGTTGTGAAATGGATTTGAAAAATACTAAAGATTGTGATTTATTGTTTGATGATTTATCAGACAATGCCAAATCCTTGTTAGACTACATGATGAATAAAATCTAGACCAAAAGAAATCTACAACAAGATATATGTTTACACTTGGTGATTGATGCATTAGTAAGAGATGTATATTGCAGAAGTGCGTAATTACATTGCATATAGAAGTTGAGTATATCGCAACAACAAAAACAATGTAATAAGTTATCTAATCAGATAAGTTTATCGATGAAAATGGGATTAGAACAAAGGATTACACTTTTCATTATAATAGTTAATATGCTTTACATTTTGTTGCAAATCAAATAATTAACAGCAAAGTAAAAAACATTGACATCAAATATCACTTTGTCAAACAAATTGTCTCTGATAGAAATATTGAATTAGTTAAGATAGATATCATATTCAATTTTGCTAATGTGTTAACCAAAGTTATTACTTTGGAAAGTTTTAGTAAACATTGTGTTACTATGCAGATTTTGTCTGGAGAGTACAAATAGATTTCATTATCATTTTGAATTAACTCTCAATGGTTTTTCTCCATACTTTTTGTTAGGATTTAATTCTAGTTAATTCTAATCTAAAGAGATACTTTCTATCAGGTTTTCTTTTAGTATTTTGCAAAAAAAATTATGTACATATGTTAAAGAGATTATTGTTTCTCTCGACATGAATAAAAGGTAAAATTGTTAAAGTAATTTCAATCTCGAGTACTACTAAAGTCAACCATATTTATATTTAGGTTTAGCCGTCACTCTCTATATAACTAGCCATAGCTCTATATAGGGTTTCAGATATTTAGATTAGAAAACCCTAAATTCGGAACCATAGACTAAGATATGAATAAAGGAGTGTGAAACAAATCTACATAAACAATAGAACATTCTTGTAAATCCTTTTGTATAAACTACTTGTTGTTTTTATGGACATAGCCCAAGATTTGGATGAATCATGTATTCATCTGTGAAAATGTTTATTTGGAGTGCTTTGCTTATCTTTTGTCATTACAAGATAAATTTACTTCAATTCATTCTGTTGAAAATTTAACCGAAATTTTTTTTATAATTATAGTTAAAAAATAGTTTGACTAAATGAAGTCATTAAATATAAATATATAAGTCATATTCTATATTAAGTCATTAAATAATAAATCCATACTATTCTATTTTCAACTATGTAATTTGTGTTAACAAAGTTAAACTAATCAAAATTGAAAGTAATTTAACTTAAATCATGCATTTATAAGATTACGAAATTTCAAAAACTTTACATGAATATCATAATTAGAATAAAAAAAAAAATTAAGAAGAAAAGAGAGGAAGAGAAATAAAATATTATTTCTTTTAATTTATATATTTTATTATGTTTGGTTTCAATTATGATTTGATTTCATTTTACAAAAATACCTACCTTATATTTACTTTTACATCTCTCATGAAATTTAATTTAAGAAAATCTAAAGAATTGAAATAATTTTTTTTTTAAATTAGTTAAAAAACTTAAACCCAAATTTTGATGTTTTTAATTTAAAATTAGTCTATCAATTTATTCTCAACATAAAAAAATTAAGCATTACTTTCAAAAACCCAAATTTAAAAATAAAATAAAAATTATTATATTTGGTTAAACTTTATCTTACCAAGATAAATTACATGTTTTTTATGTTAGTATGTATTTGATTTATTTTAATGTGTTGATATATTCAAAATTTTGATGTCAAAATATGAACGTTAAATTTTTTCATTTTATTTTAACAATATTTTGAAGATGAAAAATAAAATAAAATAAAAATATACTTATATCTTTTACACAGTAGATTCTTATTTTTGCTGATAGTCATTTTAATTATAAAATTCAGAAATTTATATTATAAAAATATTATTATCTAAGTTATAGAATTTTGCATATCATATTAAAATAAATTAATATCTATAACTGAAAATTATTTATTGAAATCATTTTTAATTAATTGGATAGAAATATGTTCAAATTTTCTTTATCCTATTTAATTTGATTGTTAGTGTGATAAAATTTTATTACTCAAATATGTTGTTTGAATATTTTAATAATACACATTTTTGCATAATCAAATCATGTTAATGTACAAACATTTTATTTTATTTTAAATAAAAACGTGAGAATTTAATGGAACGTAATCAAAATTATCATCATAGTATATCCCATCATAATTCTTGTGAAGTAAATTTTTGATATTTAGATTCTAATTACATATTTTTTTTGTATTTTATTATTTTATTATAACGTGTAATCATAAAAGATTACAACATGCAAGAATGGAACATAATACATTGAAATTTAACTTCATTGATCACTTTTTAAATCATTAGCATTGTATGAGAATCGTCATAATTAAAAGCACTACATCTTATCAATGTATTTCAAGTTTTAGCGTTCTGTTAGATATTTGGTTATGTTAGAACATGAATAGACTTCCTAAATCATGCAAATCTCAATATAACATGAGCTGATGTTCAATAGAAAGTGTGAATGAAAAAATAAACAAGTCTATATGAATTGGAAGTTGAAATAAGTACCACGTTTGTCATTTGCTTGGGGAAATTGGCAGCCCTTCGGTCATAGAGCGCTACGAACACAAGTAATCTTGGAGTCAAGTAGACTCTGATCATGCAAAAGAGGAATATTGGCATTAACACGGAATAGAAGTTGATAGGCAAAGGCAATGTGCTGTGCATGTATGTAGCATCTTCTAACAAAGAATTAGCTTCATGAAAATAAACCAATTAAAAAACATTAGCATCTCATACTTTCTTTGATATCAGCACTCATCTCAATATATTCTAATACTTATGACCAGCAAAAGATCATTTCATGTCCGGTTCAATCAAACACGTAGCCTTAAGATATTAGATTCGTCGGTTTCTTTGTCCATTCTAGTTCAATATTCAAACACATCCCCACTTCAGACAACATGAAAGCTGTGCATAAGTTAGAGTGGTGATCCTAAAGGATTATATAGAGGATGAAAAGCTTCACACATCCAGAATGCAAGAAACATACTGTGATACTTCAAACTGAAAAATATTGATATCTCATCAGTCCGCGCGACGTACAAGGTAGCGTAGTTTTTTGTGACTTTTAATAACAAATGCAAGGTTCAATTCAATAGACAAGACAGAAGAAATTCACTCAGTAGTACTTGATAAGAGATACAACGAAGATGACTGTAGTGGATGAGACCTTACGTACATAAGGAGTATGAAACACTTGGCTGAAAAGCAGAAGCCCGAAGTAAATGAACCTTGTCCATACTCTTTGCGGGAACTCTTTTCACTCCGGACGCTGTTCTACCTCTGCATGCGCTACTTTTCTTGAGTATGGCAGAAAATCAGGATACGAAGATGACAGCTAGACATAATTGCTTTTGATACCCCATCGACTAGCCTTTTCCTTCATCTCATCTCGAGGGTAGGGAGAAGACGCAAGCTTGAAGGGTTCGATCTGAGTAAAACGAGGTAAGTCTGCTATTCCCCTTTCATTAGTGACCACATTAGTACCATAATTTTTTTAAAGTATATGCTCTAAGGGGTAAAGCCACCTTCTATGGATACAATGAGTCACCTCACTGGAGTACAGACATAATACCCGCCCGCACAGAACATACAAAATTGTTTCGTGCTCAATAAGCTCTTTGCTGTGCGAGCATCATAATTACTAGGACCACAAAATCTGCAGTTCTTGAAAACACAGCGACAAGGAAAAAATCAAGCTTTCTACCGAATGCCATCCCATACCTTGGGAGTCATGAGTCTTCGCCTCCCTCTCCTTTCTCTCGCCGGAGAGCCCGGAGCCGAGCTGACCCGACCGCGCGGTCCGGGGCGGGTGGGACCTGACCTTCCCCGAGAACGTTCCAATGAACTCACTGTTCGACCTCGACACAAGGCATCCCCACAAGTCTTCGTTGCTTCTCACTGTGGGCCCATCTTGCTCCTACGTGCCTGTGCGCATGTGTGAGAGAACTCGAGTGTATGTGTCGTAGAAGTGCACACCCTCACACCACCACCACTAGCGCCATAATGTCGAGGCAACGAAAAGCGAAGGCGAGGTTGGTTCAGAAGGCGCTGCAGAAGCGCTCACATGCACTGCTGCTCCTTCGGTCCATGTGAGCCCGAAGCACATGGATTAGGCACCAGAGAGGCAGCGACCGAGTGAGCGAGCGAGCAGAGGGACTTCTTCTAAATCGTCGATGCTGTCCGTCTGTCTGCGTCGTCGCATTGGCTGGCCTGGCTGCTGCTGGCAGCCCCGCTGCCCCACTCGCTCGCTGGCCGGCTCTCTGTCCGCGCAAGACGACAAACCGGCGCGCCTGCTCGGCATTTGAAACTTGAACTTCGCAGCCCGCAGTACTCCGGACGGATGGAAGGAATCGGTCCTCTTCACCGTCGTCGTTTCTCACCGGCCTGGCCTGTGTGACGCGGTACCGTAAAGGTCACGAGAAAGGTGGTCCTCAGGCCGTGACTCGGTCTCGGGTGTGTCCTTAGACCCGACCCGACCCGAGCGCAGACCTTGAAGATGACGGCTCTTGCAAAAGTGGACCCGAGTCCGAACTCGGCGCCGATGCTGTACGTGCCGAACGCTCATTGGCCAGAAGTCGACTCTGGTCAAGTTCCGTGACCTGACTCGTCGACAAGTTCCGAGTTCCAATTCGGCCGAGGTTTATTGATGTCCGAGTCCTCAGGGAAGATTCACGACACTTCTTCAGATGCTTCCTCCCGTCGAGTGTCTTCTCTCCCGGACGACAGACACTTCATTCATTTACGCCTCGGTCCGAGGCCTGTCTGGCGTTCCGTTGCGCTCGGCAAATGATCAAAGCACAGATTTCGTCACGAACTTTTCCCGAGCTTTTGCTATGCACACGCTTGCTCGCCCGAGACATTTCATAACACGAAGCAGCAGGGAGAATTTCTGTACCGACGTTATAAATGCGCCAGAATTTTGCGCCTCCGAAATCCGTTCTCCCCGTCTGCTGCTCTTTTGCAATACTGTCCAAACCCATTGGCCGTATGAAAATTCAGGGCCCTCGTACGTAACTTACCCTTCGCCTTTTGCGCATCATTGACTCGAGTGCCAGTCGCTGACGCAAACTGAACGCGGAAGCGCACCCACAAAGTGGGCCCCGTCCGTCACAGAGAAGGGCAAAACACGACGCCTTCATCCGCTTCCCGGTGACAGGTCCCACCTTGCGGCGAGAGCCTGCCTGACGAATCTTGCGGCCGCAGAGCTGAGAGCGAGCCGCATCCAGTCACTTCCGCATAATCCACGAACGCTACCGGCGCCTGCTACGGAGTTCCTCCTCGTCTGCAGTTCTGAATTGTCCAGAACACCGTACAGTCTCCACCGTCACCTGACCAGGGTCCGCTAAGTCCGGTCCGGTGTATCCATTAGAGCTCGAAGCTGGACTCCCCTCTCCCGAGCCCGGAGCCCTGGTTGGGTTACTCAGAGGCCTACTACTCCTACTGCGCCTACTGCCACCACTGTAAAGTACAAGTAAGCCTAATTGTGTACTGCAGTACGACCGAACTACGGTCATTGATTAGCATCCCGCCGGTGAACGCAGATGATGCAGATGCACAAGTTGATGCTCGGGCTCAGCAGGTTTTATTCTCCCCGTCCTCAAGTGGGCTCATTGCCCGTTGTCGACAGTGGATGTTAGGGGGGTTATTATTATAATGAGGGGAGGGGTTGCAGATGTACCGTTGCGTTTGAATTTCACGAGCTTTCTCTTTCTTCTGATCGCAGGTCGTCCGGACTCGGGTGGCGTTCAGAAGCCCTATCTCTGCATAGGGTTCACGGGATTGAACAGTCACGAAGAGCTGAGCACAATTTGGGTGTTAGAGTCGAAGGATGTCATCGCGATCGTTCCTTTTCCTCGTGGCCGTTCGGGCGCTGGAATCGCAACTCGCGGAGATTGACAGATCCTTGGAGTGGATCGACGGACGGAATCGTCAGCGAGATGAGTGCTAGAACTGTTGCGCGGGGGATCTCTAGCACATGCGATTTTTGATACAAATCTTTGCTCCTGTTGGTCAACTCAGAGATTGGTAGGAATAATACTGTGAATAGTGTGCGAGGCACAAACAGCAGAATCTACTTCTACAGTGGAGACGTCGGAGAGGAATTCCGCGACTCGGTTGATGACCGGAGCATCGGTGATAATTCCGCATGTGTGATGAACGTACTCAACACCAAGCCTAAGCATCACATCAGTGAATGAAGTCAAATTCCCAACACATCTTTTGACCCAATGTGATTGACAATCGACGTACCTATAGCATCTAATCTATCTTAAACCTTTCTATTTTTATATGAACACATGTATTTCTTAATGGCCTTTCGCTGTATTGGGAAATGATTTGAGCTTCTTGCACAATGAGTGGGAAGAGGTTGAAGGGTGAAGAATCGATTTCGAACTTCCCTGCACCGATGGAACACACGATGTTCATAACTTATTCTTTCTCGTCCGCTCGCTCGGTTAGCACCGAGCTGCTGGTCGGACAGTGGTCCCTCTTAAGTCTTGGTCGTATTCCTCCGCAGAGGAGAGAAAAGACCAGTTAGTCAGACTCTCGGATGCAATATGCCTTGATGTATGTTCCTCCAAGCTTTTGCTTTGTTTTTTGCTGTCGTAAGATGTTGAGAGAGAAGTAAAACCCTGGTGCTTGCAGTGAAACTCCAGTTCTCGTCCGCTGGGCTCAAATATGAGATCCGATCGCGTGTTGGACCGAACTGGATCTTTTTCAACCCGGGAGCAGGGCCCTCCAAGGGGCTGAAGCACTCGACACCAAATTCTATATCACTCCTAGACCCATCGCATTATTGGAATTGTCCAAAATGATATCATAGGTATGTGGAACAGTAATGCTTTTGCATCAACATACAAACAAGGAACGCATGCAAAGAACAAGAAAAGCATGGCCCTACGAATATTTTCGACCCTAGTGCGGTCAGCAACATCCTCACGGAGAAGCTTGATTGACTCGAGCAGTAGAGAAGGTGAGGTACCAAAAGAAGCGACGAAAGCTTTGGCTGCGAGTGTTTTGTTTTCTGGAAGCACGGAGGCTGAGTGTCCGAGAGAGCCGAGTGACTAAGTCTCGAAAGAATTGTATGTGGAGACCACTAAAAACTTAAAAAAAAAGGACGAACTATTCAGATGAGATGAGCAGAGGCGAGCCATCACCTCGGTCACTGTAGCAGGCTCACATCACAGATTCCAACATTCACACGCCTGCCTAGAGCGAGAAAACTAAATCAAGAACTCGAGGTTCGAAACTCTAAACAAGTCCACGACGAGGGGGCTGTCTTCTGCTTCTCGATTCAGATGTTGCAGCTGCATGCATGCACGAACAACAACAACAACAAGCCCTCATTCTCGCTCACGTCTCATCATCAGACGTGCATGATCGATCCAGAGTTCGATACCGTGTTTACCGCAAACTCGATGCAGCTCGCTCGCTCATACGACGTACCGACAAAGAAGCAAGGACTGACTTGCAGAAGCGCTCCTCGAGCTGATTGATACCTCGTCACCACTGACAAAGCGGCAATTTACACACGAAAATAATTCCACTGAATTATGCAAATTTGTTTGTTGAAGGTGGAGGACGCTGCACCAGATCAAGAGAGCGAGTGTCAGCCAAGTCAGAGGGTTTCGTCACAGCAAACTCAAGCTACAATGAAGAACCCACCAGGCAGTCAATCAATCAATCGATCGTGATCCAGGTGGTGGTGGTGGTGGTGGGTCGGATACAGCGACGGAAGAAGAGACGGGAGATGGACGGGGGACAGCTCGAGGGCAGAGCATTTGCGCGCTGTGATAGTTACAATTCGCCGGACGCGGGCGAGAGAAATGGGAACATTCTCCACTGCCCCTTGGATTCGGGAATCCCGATTCCGGTTGAGGAGAGAGAGGATCGCGGGTCCGGCCTGGGGGTAGCGGATCTTGCGCCGACGACGGTGAGAAGGGCGAGCCTGAGGAGGACGACGGCGACGACGGCGAGAAGACTCCAGTCGGCCACAGGGCCTGACGACGGTGAACAGAACTTTTGCAGTAAAAGGTTTGAAAATAGGCCATTTTCATCTGGCAGCCGTCTAGCCATCCGTTGTCGCCTGCGCACTTTTGACTTCCTGCCTCCAGCTGGAGCGAGGCCGAGGCCGAGGCCGGCAGTCCCGCCGATCGCCGGTCCCTCGGTCCAGTTCGTCTCGTTGCGCTGCGGAGTTTCGTCGACCGGCGATCTGCTCAGTGCTTACCGTTGCTGGCCTGCCAGCCTGACTGCCGGTCCGGCAACTGTCGCCTACTTCCACAGCACGTGGCTCTTCGGACTAGGCCCTGTGGGCAGCGCCACATGGTCACCGGTCCTTCCAAGGGGACGATGGAAAGCGCACAAACTTACCTTCCCCTTTGCCGGACCTGCAGACATGCTCTCTCCCTGTTCGTTCCCATTCCCCGGAGTCGAGGTGGGGTATGCGATGGTAAGTACGTGATCAGGGCGGAAGTAGTTATGGAAGTATTAACCCGCATTCCTACGCGGTTAAATCCCCGGGGGCGACCATCGATCCCGGCCGCGGGGGCCCGAGATCTGACCGTTTTCAACGTGTGAATTCAAAAGATTCGACGGCAGCTGTGTTGACCCGTTGGACGGAGACGGGGTTGTCTCAACGGGTGTGGCGACGCCTGACGCACTGGAGGGAGTCTACGCCGTGCTCGGATCGGACGGTGCGGATGCTCGCAGGCCGGGCAGGCGGAACCTGAACGAGTCGCAGGGACGGAAAGACGGTTGAGAGGGGGAGGTTGTTTGTTTGTTCGTGTTGGATTGACGGGGCGGGCCGGGGGATCGTCTGTCGGCAGCGACGGAGGAGAAAGAAAGAGGGCCTCGGCTCTCCCGAGACGGTTGTTGGTTCGTCGTTTGGCGGAGGGGTGCCGCCACTTCTGCGGACTCACTCCACCCGCCCCATCGTGAGACGCCAGCCGCACATCGGCGGATCCACGGCCCTCGCGAGGCTCGCCGGGTTCCAGGAAACCGGGACAAACTCGCGAAAGCGACCACCCCGCCGCTATAATTAGCCGGGCCATGCTCGGGACGCACCCCACGCCTGTCGTGGTAGCCTGCGGTTGGGCCGGGGCGCAGCGGAGGACGCCAGCCGCAAGCTTGAACGTGGTCGCGGGCCAAGTCGTCGTTGGGCGACCTCCGCTTCGCTCGCTTCGCCCGCGCTTCCTTGGACCCTTGCGAACGAGCAGGCCCGGCCCGCGTGTGAAACCAGCCCACGACGGGAGAGGAGCCAGAAGTCCGACAGTTTCTGTGGAGTTTCGTTGCGATGGCACTGCCGCTGCCGCTGCCTGACTGGTGGCGTTGGGATCCATCCGTCTGGAAACGGTCATATGGCGGAGAACAAGAAAAGCAAGTGAGGGAAGAAGCGGAAGCAGGAGGAGGAGAAATAGAAGAAGAAGACGAGAGCAGAAAGGGGGACGAAGGGCGGAAGAATGATTGCGGGGAATCGAAGGGGAATCTGCCGAGGGAGGAGGAGGCAGCTGTGAGTGGAGAACCACCAGATCAGCGAGCGAGAGGGGAAATCACGGAAAAGGCACAAAGGCAGCGACGGGACGGGACGGGAAGTGAGGGGAGGGAAAGGGGAAGAGGGGTGGTATGGTATGGTATGGTGTGGTGTGGGGTGGTGCGGTGAGTGAGGTGTGAGGTTGAGGTGGGCGAGAGGGCGAGTGAGTGCGAGGGGTGGGTCTGAGTCTCTGCTGGGTTCGATCATGAGGGAGGAGCGAAGAGCGGAGGAGCTTAAGTTAGTCTAGAGGGGGCAGTGGCAGGCCCGTGGCCTGGGCTGGCCTGGAAAGTGGAAGGCGAGCGAATGCAGCAGAGCAGATAGTGCCGGAGGAAAGTGCTTGATTTTGTGTCTCTGCGAAGAAGGAGCTCCTGTAGAGCGAGTAGCAGCACATTTCGTTGGTTGGTTACACGGTCCTCAGGGGGCTGCACCAGGAACGGGAAGGCAAGGCCAGGCGAGTGAGCAAGCAGAAGCAAGAGGGGGAGGAGGAGGAGAAGGAGGAGGAGTACAACAGAGAAAGGACAGAGAGAACGAAAGAGAGCGAGAGGAAGGAATAGAAGTCGGTGGAGGTGGAAGGCGTCGCGGCCACAACGACGCGAAAGACGCAGGAGAAGAAGGAGGCAACGAAGCCTCGCTCGCTCGCTCCTCCCTCTCCCTTTCTCTCTCTGTGTGGGTGTGGAAGGCGGGCGGTTGCGTCAGAACACAAGCGCTTTTGAGAGCGTCTGGTTGCTCTGGGCCAGCCTGCGCGCATGGCAGTCGCATTCTAGGTCATTCTCTCATTTCATTCATTCACAGCAGCAAGAGCTGGACGTGTGCCTGCATTCATGATCCGAGCGACGACGATCCAATTGCTTCCAATTTTTTCCCCGTGTACAGCTTCCAATGCTCTCTCGTTCTTCTTCTCCTCGCTCTTCTTCTTTATCTTCGCAACGTCCGGCCTGAGCTAGTCCTCTCCTTCCTCCCTTCGTCGTCACTGGAACTCCTCTTTCTCCTCATCTTTGGTCTCCGATCTTTTCGCTCTTCCGTCTCTTTCCTCCCCTTGCTCTGCAGGCAAAATCAGAGGCGGGGGTTGAGCTACCCTCCTACCCATCAAGCTCGAATCAGTCCTCCTCCGCATTTTCTCATGGCTCTCTTAGGCTTTCTTTCAGGCGTGGCACTGTTGGCCATCAGATAATCGTGTGCGACTCGTGATCTTAACACCGTAAGCTCTCTTTTCATAACCACGGCCCAAGACTCGGTTATCATTGCACTGATAATGGCACCGACAGTCTGTTTAGAAGTCCTGTTCTCTACTTTCGAGAAAGTGTCGAAATATGCAATCTGCCCAGAATTCTCGTCGAAGGTTTCGCTCCTCGATTTTTGCGGAAGTTGTTCCTTTTCTTGCTATCCCGTCCTCTCCGTCTGTTTTGGGTAGAATTCCATGGCTCTTCCTGTGCGTCGGAGGTCCTTGCTATGTGTGTCACAGGGCTGACTGCGTCGGTGTTCGCTCCTTTGGGAACCAGTGACCTGTGAAATTGGGTTTGTGGCAGGAAGTTGTAGGATGTAGTCTGGAAAGGCCTTTCTTCTAGAGTTTTTGCTAGATGGCTTGTAGCTAGCGATATCTTCTTCCGTCGCCGTGCTCACATTTTCGTTCTGGATTCTCTGAACAGGCGGCTATCGGAGCAATTACACGCAAGGATCGTATTTGTAGACTCGCGCAGATTGGACCCAATATTCTTGTATTGCTGCTTAAAACGACTCAGGAGAAGCAGCCCGCCCGATGCCTTTGAGCTTAGTTAACGTCGATTGATCGGAGTAGGATCTTCAGAGAGCTCTGGACTGGCAGTTGAAGTCAGGCTCTCGTTTTAGAAAGGGACAAGCCAAAGGAACAGGTTACGCGAGGTTTCAACTTTGAGCTCTTGGGTAAACTAATCGACAGCAGAGATGCGTGCCAGGGCTGGCTCAGGCATCGCTACGAAATGGATCGTGCTGCTGTGTTTCGCAAGTTTTATAGTCGGCACGCTCTTCACAAACAGGTTACTTGTTACCGTTGAAACACTTAGCCACGTGTCTTCGCTACTCTGGTTGCACTTGAGGTTTGGGATTGTCATAAGTGCTATGCCATGAATTTGCCTTGACGACTGTCCGTGTCCATAAAGTCGCCTGCAAATATCTCAGGGTCACGCTCCTCCTTGAAGAAGTGAGGTCTGAGCTCCATCGAAACAGGGACAGTTCTGTACTCATGATCGGGAAAGATGTAATAAGTTAAATCATCAGTCTGCAGAATGTGAAGTGATTATGCTCTAAAACAAACCGACAGTGTGGTCGTGATTAGTGGGTGACCGTTGCTAGCTATGTGAACTGAATTTGGTTCGAATCATGCAGGATGTGGCAAGGCCCGGACTCCAGTGGGGGCATTGCAGATGAAGTTCTTATCGAAGCCCAACGCAAACTCGAGTCAAATGGAGAACCTTGTGACTCTAAGCCTGTAAGTATCTCGGATGTTCATGGGGTGTCACGGAAGTGAAGATTTGAAAGATCTTGAGGCGGACAGCGAGACTAATTTTCGTCAAAATTGGCCACTAATAATAGAATCCACAAGTTTTGTTCCCGCAATCTAGGAAACAAACAGAAGGGTTCATCTCGAACTCTACTGAAAATTCCATCGAGCTTTGGGTTTTTGTTTGATGATGTGAAGAATGAGCTCAGGGCACTGAACAGGTCTAGCACCACCCTAACCTTCACGTCAGACAGATTACAAGAGCTAATTTAGCCCAGAGCACGAGCTGACGATATCTCGCGGTGTGAAAGACTTTCATATGGGATGTTGTATATTTCCTGGTGTACATAAGTACGTCATCGCTCGTTAGTTATGAGTGCTAGTTTATGTCAATTCTCCGACTCTTTTGAACGAATAATGTTGATCAGAGCTATCAGCTAGAATTTCTGAGAACTTATCTTGTAGAAATTTAGTTAACCTCATTCGTAACTAGAGGTTACGACACCGAAAAGCTGTTGGAGCCTTTGGGTTAGTCCGATGTTAGCATGTTTATTCTCAAGGAGAAGAGAATTTTTTTAATACAACTTTGGCCTAGTGTACGTCGATTACGTTTGATTGAATAAATTTCAATCGAGTCTTCAACCATTGAAGATTCCTTCGCTTTTGAATCATGTACTCTTGAAGACCTGGGAACGCTATTTAGACGGCTGAAGTTAGCAAACTCGCATTTCTCCTATCTGGGTGTTAACAGCTTCTCGTTATTTTATTGAGCTGGGTAATCATTAGCGTTACAAGAGGAAGGTGTCGAACTGTAATTCATCGTGCGCGGAATGTTACTGGTGTTTTTTGTCATTATCAACTTCCCTTGTATCTGACCATATTCTTACTCGCGCATCAGTACTTTTTCTCGCAGTCATTGCGAGGATTTTTTCTCTGATTAACTTGGATTTGAGTCTTGTTTATAATATTGGAAGTAGTAGTCGAGGAAAGACTTAAGTCTGCAGAGATGTTCCAAGTTTTCCTACCACACTGTTGATACATCAATAGACATCTGCTAGTTCGACTTGAGATCCACAGCAGAAATGATATTGGAAACACTGACTTTATTTTGTTTGTTTCAGAAGCCTGTTAATGGTGATCAAAAGGACATACTTAGTGAAGTATCTAAAACCCACATGGCAATAAGGTGAGGACTAGGGTTCCTTTCCGTCGTATATGGAACGGATGGATGGTTGATACCGCATTCTCAAAGTTACTATTCAATCAGAGTGTAGTTTGCACCGTTCAACAAATATTTCCATTTATAGTGCTTCGTTGTGAGAAGTTGTGTCCAATCGGATTTTACAGGACTCTTGATAAAACTATCTCATCACTGGAGATGGAACTAGCTGCTGCCCGAGCAGCTCAAGCAACTAGTGTAAATGGATCTCCAATTCTGGACAAGCCTGTTGGAGAGGTTACCGAGGGTCGTCAAAAGGCCTTTGTCGTTATAGGCATCAACACAGCGTTCAGCAGCAGGAAGCGACGAGACTCTGTGCGAGAGACGTGGATGCCTCAAGGTCGCAATCCTCAAAACCAACCTCCAAATTTTTTTTTCTCAATAAGCGCATTCTTCGCTCCACTTGTTTGACTATATACTGCAACTCTAGCTGGCTTGTGTTGATTCGGATCTAGCTTAGTTTTCGCTGATCATTTTACATTAATCTATAGCCTAAGCTCATCTTGATTGGGTCGTCTCGCAGGTGACAAATTGAAGCAGCTCGAGCAAGAAAAGGGCATTGTTATCAGATTTGTTATTGGACATAGGTGAGAGTTGTGATATTGAGTTGTGTTAAGGTTTTATCTCCCACTTAGAAATGGCTTGCTGAATTATCATGGGATTTGCGATGCAGTGCAACTCCTGGGGGTATCCTTGATCGTGCAATCGAAGCTGAAGATGCGCAACACAATGACTTTTTGAGACTGGTATGTCTTCACCGACCTGTGAATTGCCACAAGACAAATTCACTTTTCCACTTTACTCTTGGCCCTCCTGATAACAATGCGCTACCATTGTCTCATTCTTCTCATGTCTGTGCAGGAACATGTGGAAGGTTATCATGAATTGTCTGCCAAAACCAAGATTTATTTTTCGACAGCTGTGTCAAAATGGGATGCCGATTTCTACGTGAAGGTGGATGACGACGTGCACGTAAATCTAGGTCAGCGATTTACTGCGGAAGAGTGTTATCGTGGATGGTTTCAAATGTGATACATAGAAGCGCTTTGGTTCATTGTATACCTTCTAAATGTTAAGTGTGACACGTCTCATTGACATTAAGATTCGTGGTTAATTCTGGTTTACTCTCAGGAATGCTTGGCACTACTCTTGCCAGACATCGATCGAAGCCCCGCGTGTACATTGGCTGTATGAAGTCCGGACCTGTGCTTGCGCAAAAGTAAGCTACGAGGATAGTGCAGTTTTTCCATTGTGGCAGGATATGGGATGACAAAGTTACCTTGAGGTTTTGTGTAGTCTTATGAACCTAAACTTTGTCCTAGAGAACAGCGGGTATACGAACCTCTCGAAATATGCGGGAGCTGACGGGCCTAAATTGTTTCCTTAGTAAATGTGTTTGGTTGCGAAGTATTGAAATTGCAAGAGATGCCTCATATACCGATAGATCTCTTTGGTTTCTCCTTACCCTTGCACAAAAGATTGGATACTGACATGGAGGTGTTTACAGGGGAGTCAAATACCACGAACCGGAGTTTTGGAAGTTCGGGGAGGAAGGAAACAAGTACTTCAGACATGCAACTGGTCAAATCTACGCAATATCGAAGGATCTGGCCACTTACATTTCAATTAACCAGTAAGTCAAACCAATCGTCTACTGGTTTTAGTAAGTACATGAGAGTGTCCAAGTACTTGATTTTCTATCTTTTGAGACTTTTTGTGAAATAGTGATTGTAGGTTGTCGATCTGCTCTTTTTACCTTTCTCTACTCAGGATGATAGACACGGTGATTTACCTCAATGCAGTCGTCGTCTATCTCCCACACTCACTGTGCATCATGGTCCTTCTTTTAAATAATGCTGGCATCATAGAAGAGGCATGTAAAAGCCCATACTAGGCGAAATACTGAGCTCAAGCATTCTCTATCTGGACAGGCCAATTTTGCACAGATACGCCAACGAGGACGTATCCCTTGGGTCGTGGTTCATCGGGTTAGACGTGGAGCATATAGATGACCGAAGCATGTGTTGTGGTACACCTCCAGGTAATATTCAAGAATCTATCTAAGTTTCCCAGGTTATAGACGAGAATAAACTTGTCTTGGCCTGAATCCGCCGTCAGAGATATCACGTAGAAGGCATCGTCTGTGATACAGCCGTCACCTGGGGAGATTTAAGTGGCAACTTACCTTGGTTCGATCGTACGGCATGTCCTGCAGATTGCGAATGGAAGGCTCAAGCCGGGAATGTGTGCGTTGCATCATTCGACTGGGCCTGCAGTGGAATCTGTAAATCAGTGGAGAGGATAAAAGATGTACATCAACGGTGTGGAGAAGGGGAGGGTGCTGTATGGAGCGCATCTTTCTGAAAGACGACAGCCTCTCAGTGGATCTTTCTGCACCTAACTGCCTCTTAATTTAACCTTGTTAATCAACTCCTAGTGCCAATTATTTAGGATAACCCAGGGAGCCCAAGCCAAGTATGGAGGTGTAATCTATCATGGAGCGAGAGAGGGCCAAGAAAGGCTCTTCGAGAAGGATTGGTCTCGTCTCTTCCACCTGGGTCTGGTCATGGAGTTCGTCCGGGATGTTTCCTCCTTCATCCGAGTTCTTCGAGAAGGGTAGGTGAGTTATAGGTAGATACATGAGCATCGAACTGTATATGTAGTCAGCGTCGTCTTGCCTATGTGAGTCCTCCCTTGTTCAGAGGTGTGTACACGACGACCTGTCAGAAGCTTTAGTGCTAAATTTTTCCTCTACCGTCACACGGTATACACCTGTTTCCGTCGCCTGCAAATTTTTGCCCGAGGGCAAATGCTGTTCAATAACATCCCTCCTCGCAAACAGCTGTTTTCAGCAATCCCACGTAGCCGCAGCACAGCCATCCAACCCAACCCAACCCAACCCAGTCACTATTTCAGACCCGACGGATTACTGGGAAGTCTGGTCTGTTTCAAATAATTTTTGTAGTTCATTAATGATGATGTGATGATTATGATACCAGCGCACTCTCATGAGGAGTCACCGAAGTGATGTGCCTGTAGAGAGAGACGCTGCAAGCAGTGTAGATCTTGGGCTTGACAAGATGAGTTTCTTTATAACTGAAATGAGTTTACGGAGACTCGAAAGACGACGGAAGGGCTTCGACAGATGATGAGTGTGGAGGAAATTTGTGATCAACAACATTGCAAATCCTGCGAGGTCAAGATTTTATTTTTTGGTCGAGCCAGCCACTTCGAAAGAAGATCGTAAAGAATTGCGATGGGATGGCCGTAGACATTCTAGCAGCGAATCTTTTCAGTCGGAGCAAGAGTAGACGGACTGACTACCAGCCGCCATTTCCTGAAGCGTTGCTGGAATCATGGTTCTCCATAATTGTCCCTGATAGTTTGATCCGGTCTGTATTTTTTTTAAAAGGGGTCAAGTTTCTGTACAATGTGTAGCCACCACCCCATTTTATATCATCGAGAATTCGTTCCTCTTCCAGCCAGTAGAGACTTTCGAGTCTTGTGTCACACTATTTATTAAAAGATGAATTGTTCCGAAGGCTCTCACTCAGGCCACGCTCTTTTCACCACTACTCTTATCGTGCAGCTGTGACTTGCTTGTCGGTCGCTCGTGGATTTTCACCCGATGCATATCGTTGGTACTCTGGACTTGGCTTTCTTGATTTGCTCTTCTCATCAGCCTGTCTTTCAGGACTAAGCAGGGAGTGGGAATACGTATGCTACATGCATTGGTCGTGTAGATATTGAGCCTTAAAGATTTTATATCGAAATCACCTTCGTTGGACTAAACTCTTGTACATGCGATTGACCTGGCCATGGAGCTGGCTGTGTGTGGGGAGGTAGGCCTATTTGATAAAAGATGTGATTCAGTGCTCCTAGATCCAGGGTGTTATCTCGAAGTCCACATGATGAACGCTTCCTAGGCGTAGAAGCCAAGTCCAGTAGAATCTCACCGCATTTGTAGGCCGTATGCCTTTGGCAAGATTACTGTCGAGTTTTCGTGTCACAAGATAACATTACGTAGATTTACTCGAGTTCAGCGGAAGAGGTCAAGATTGACCCGCGCTAAAGGAAAGGATGAAACCAAGGTGTTGTCTCAACACCTTCAATTAGAGCTGTCCTAGCGGAAGTTGTGTGCAAACCCGCCGTTGGGAAGGTCCGTTGATTCCTGACCTGGGAATATCTAGAATTCACCACATCGCTCACGTTAGGATTGGTGCCGTAGAAAACAAGGGAGGGAGAGTGCTTGCGTTTCAGATCTCACGTATCTTATGGAGTATATACTGTCGGTCCCGGATCTTCATATTTAGACCGTGTAGAGAGTCTCCACAGCGCTGGAGGAGTCATTGAGTTGGGAGTGAGTGCTATGTCACTTGCTGAGACCAGTTTAGTGCAGTATCACAGATTGCACAGATTGTATCGAGTCTTTATCACTAGTACCCGTAGCTATTTTATAATTCCTATGAAGCCAAGCTCCAATTCTTTGAACATGGATAATGGTTCTATGTTGAAAGGGATCCGATACAGTGTTTCATCAATTAAAACTTTGCACCATATTGTCACCCAAATTGCAGTATACATCAATGGTTACTTCCATTCGTTAGTGCTCCTCCCAATCCTAGCTTTTGTATCTCCCTTCGAAATATATGGGCCTCATTGCCGCATCCCGCTATGTGTATGAACAGCTCTTATTCAGGTTTTTCGATCCAATAATCATGGATTACTTAATCGTTGATCCATATTATTTACTCTCTAATTCTCTCTGTTGAAGTTTACTGTTTCACTACCGTTATGGCTAGGGGCTATTATGGAACCTGAATCCATTTTCAAGTGCAGGGATATGGATAAAACATGATCACAAATAGATTCTTATGTTGCAGCTAATAATAGCTCCTTAAGTTTACGCAATCTTTTCATGAGTCATTCTATCTAGTCATCATCGGTTTTGCCATCTTTCATGTTCGCATGCAAATTTTGTCACGTGATTCAGTGTCAACTAAGATGCCTTGCTTGCTCATTTTCATGTTTAAGGGTTTTCAGCACATACATCCAGTGGACCTTGCCCATTCTCATGTTGCATCCACAGTCATCCATAACCCTCGTTTCTCCATTCCAGAGGTAATAGTCATATGTATAATGCATGTCATAAATACTATTTCATAGAACATGCCGTATTTTAAAATTATACAGTGAATATTTTTGAAAGTGAACATTATTCAGATAAAAACTTTGAAAACTTTCAAATATCTACATGTCTTCGTACAAATTTCTGAAAAGGATTTTTTTTTTAATTCATAATATGTTGCCATCATTGAAAAATCATATAATCTTTTACTGATAGTTTATAAATTGATTATATATATGTATGCATACTTATATATACATATAAACATACAACTTTGAAATTTTCATATTGAAGAAGTATCATAAAATTATGAGATAATTTTTGCAAAAATTATATCGTATTTATTTAAGTCTCAAATTTCTGAACTTCAATGCAATTTTTTTACTTCAAAAAATCTGATTATTTTGCATGATTTCAAAAATAATATTATTTTATATGAAACATGTTTATTTTAAAATATTGATTCATGAATGTGATCTTATTGAACAATATTCTGATTTCTTATTATCTCTTAGTATTGAATACAAATATTGACAAGAAATTTTAGAAATTTATACATTTATATCAAAATTATTATACATAATTTTTTAAATTACTGAAGTCAATGAAATTAGAAGTATCAATTACTAAAATTATTTGATTCAATCTTTGAAGCATACGAATTATTAATTTATTTAAAAGCTTAATATACGTAATTTTTAACAAATGAGAAAAGCATACTAATTGATATATTGATATGATGTGAAATGATCATTGATTTTATTAATGCACATAAAACATAATGGACATCTCTTTGTTTTGATATTTTTTAGCGAGTTTTAGGACATATAATAAAACAAGTTCACAAGAAGAGATGCAAAAAGACACGAAGTTTTACTAAACTAGGAATGCAATGAATTACCTTATGTAATTCATTGCATTACATAAGGTACGAAGCCAAATAATGGATCAAATATACAAAATTTCCATGAACTTGTATCAGAAAAAGTCTAAACATGATACATGAGGATTAAAGATGACCAAAATAAGGCTTATTTCTTACTCCATCTAAGATATCTTAGATAATAAAAGTTTATGTTTAAAGTACAACATGTTCCTCTCTCTAGTTAATCTTTTAATAGATAAATATAAATTTGTTGCATAGAATGAGCTGAGGACAATGATAGTCCTATTTGCCTAGTACAATAGATTATCTCTCACACCAGCAGAAAAATTTATACCTTTCAGATTAAGATTATTGATTCATTCGAGTGAATAATCGACGGAAGAACAACGTTGATGAAATCAATTGTAAAAATTAAGATTAAAAAATACCTCTATGTATGAAGAAGCAAAACGATGTGCTCAACTCAAATTGACAAGTTGATTTGAGTATCTTTTAGCCTAGTACACAGATTTTATATTTACTGTATAGAGATAACACAGCGTGACCATTACTTTCACGTAGATGGGATGGTGCTGTTTTCTAATTTTTTAAATGTCTACAGATTGAGATGGTTTCGCGTCTGTAACATGGGAAGGCACTTTGAGACTGAATCTGTAACATGGCCACTTTGAGAGGCAAGACATTCTTTAGGCGAGACCCAGATGTATTTGAAACACAATTACGGGCAATACTTCGCAGAATCAAAGCACTGACCGTCCATCTGCAACACAATATGCAAGAGTTGACGAGAATCCGAGTGGAGTGCTATTGGAACATGATCCAATCCTGCACATCAAGAAGCGTTTCAGTTTCTCGACGTGATAGCAAGTAAATCAGACAACCTGGGCAGATGGGAAAGACATGCAACGAACACACAAGAAGACTAATGTGAAGACTCAGATCCCAATCGGAACCGGAAAATTTCCAAAGCTCTCCAATCAATGTGCCCGAATGAAGGATGGTGGAAGCCCTCGAATTATATCTACCCAAGCGACCAATTTCCCACTTTCTTCACAGCCGGCCCTATGCGAGACACTACTTCAAGCGTTTTAATTTCACCTCAAGAGCATTCACAAGGGGACCATGAGTAATAATGGATTCGAGGAAAAAAATATTTCATACAATAATACATATGTGAAATCGAAATATTTTCTTAAATTTCAATATATTCTTAAATTTGCTTCCATTTTTATTATGATGATGTCATTAACCAGAAGACCACCTACAATGTTTTCAAAAGATCGAATATCTCAACATGATTAGGATAGATTCATAATAAATTAATTCTTCATGGTTGTAATCTATATTTATAACCAGATAAACAGAAAGTAGAATGAATCTTTCACGTGAAATAAACGTGAAAATATTAACGTCTAAATACTGTATTTTGTAAGAATCTTTTACAATTTATGTTGAATCCATTAAAAATCGTGTGTTTGATCACTTTGTGATCAAGAGGCATTAGCATGCATTAGAAAGACAGTTATATTCATAGAGTATACGTGGAATACGAAGTAACCTGGTGCACAGTTGAACTTCAGGAATGTTTGGTTCTTCCAGTGGCTGATAACAAGGTTGAAATACCGATAATATTGATGATCATTGCCGAAGAAAAGAAACAAGGTTTCTCAAAGTTAATTCGGACTGTCATGAGAAATCTCGTTTTGGTATATCCATCGTTTCACGACCAGAACGTCGATGAGTATGTGGTTCATAGAAAGGCAAGTCAGGAAAAAAATGCCACGCACGCTGGAATCATCGGCACGATTATCTCATCCGTCAAACCATAGCTTGAGAATTCTCATATGGTTGTATCTCGATGGACAACAAATGCAGCTGTTTGGATGATACTTACAATTGCGTCCCACAGACTTGAAAATTTCATTTCATTTTTGTCACAAAAATGACGAACTCCTAATCTCTGCAAAAGAAGGGTTGCATACGAAATTCCGATGAACTCTGGGCCGTTGCCAGACTCGAGACAGACCAGTCCAAATTGGCCACGTATCGTATGAGCGACAGAAAGCAGACAGAGTCAGGCCTCGACATAAAGTAGGAACATACCTATTTGAAGTTCTTCGGATGACAACCGAGATGTTATGATCTTTAGGGATTTTTATTTTCATGAGAATAAACTCTGGCGAAGTTGACTGTAGATTCAGCAGAAGCCCTTTGTACTCGAATCGGTATCGGAGGCGTACGAAACGTCAAATCGATGTCTTGAAGGCATGTACTAAACCCAGTATTCCCGAAATTTCCCCATGCAGATTGAAATTACCAACCTCATGTCTTGGCTGCATGCTTGCCCCAGTGTGAGCGTGCCGACGGCTACGAAAACGTGAGTGAACTTGTGCCAACACATGCCACTCAATACTCAGGATGAGAGCACGATGGAAAAGAACTGATCCTCCACGATGATTTCGATACAGGACAGAATCAATTCTATTTTTCAGTAGGGACAAGCATCTCGTGGGGATGCTTGTTTATTTTTGCATCAGTTTATGGTAACTGCTTACCATGGGGAAACCAAGTTACTCTCTCGTTATCGTGTACGCTGTGTCTGGTAATTGTTCTTACAACTGGGAGGTTGAAGAATGCACCGCAAATGATATTAGCCCATTGAAAACATGTAACCCGACGACCTGTAGATCCATGGAACTCGTAAAAACCCCCCAAGTTTTTCCTCTTACCTGAGCTATTTACTTCTATATGTCTGTTTTTCGGCATCCCTGATTTCTACATTTTTATAATATGGATCCAGTCAATCCCAATTGAAATAGGAGTGTAATAACCCCTATCAACCTCCAAAATTTCCAAATTTCCGCTGTAGAATTAATTTTCATAATTTGTATATTTTCACATGGTTCTTCTTGAGACTATCAACGATTTATTTTCGTACGGGAAAAGAATAATTCTATATCATTGTTAAAAATTGATGCAATCTTTAACTAATATTGAACTGAAGCATTGCAAATTTCTTTGTCATATTATGAAAAAAAAAGGTAAAACTAGCAGACGATTGTTATTATGTATAACAATAATAAATATAAATAATTCAAATATGTACAATCATAAAAAAAAACATTGATAAAATGAATGCAATCCGAAATCTTCTCATTTTGCGTATGAATCAAAATCTGATTTTGTGATAGAGAACGTTATTAACTTGTGTTCCTTACTTGTATGTGTTTAAATCAAATTCGATATATTTTAATGGATCCTTTGCGTTATGCCTCAAAGAAATGTCTCAGATTATCAAAGCAAGAAAAAGAATCAAAATACATCCGAGTTAGATCGCGAAAAGCAAAGAATGTAGTTGAAAGCTACATAACATCTCAATTCTGAAACTCAAGTACAGTTATGAGAATAATAGCAATTGTACCGTGCGCGCTTTTGAACTAGCTGATCTATAACTGTCATCAAAAGATGCACCTTGAACAGACTAATTATTTATATCTAAAAATGAAAATATACTTGCCGGTAACGATGTCTTAATAACTATCGACACATCCAAGAAGCTCGAAAGTCGTACCTGCTGAAGTATATGAAGATTAGAAAGAAGAATAAGACAACGCGATATCAAAAACAGCACAGTAACGAAGACATTGTGCTTTTCCTCATTATTGGATGGATGCAACTAACAGTGCTAGAGATGCACGCGTGGTTGACTCCTTGTAGCTCCAATGGTTTACAGTGCTCTTCCAAATGTTTCACGAATTTTTATGTTCAAGAGTTAGTACGAAACTGACGTAACTCGAGAACGGGTGAAAGATTTGCAGAAAGCCCGGCTCTTTCTTTTCTGAAGGTCCGCACGTAGATTTATTTGCTCCAGGAACTGTGATAATATTGACACTTTCAATTCGGACACTTTCAATTCGGCGATGTGGACATTGCAATAACTGTGTTGATACATCTCACGACAACTTACAAACCCTGAAAAGCCAAGACTCAATCGTGCACCAAATACCTCTCCGTCATTGCTTTTCACGAGCGATAGAAAGTATGAGAGTGGGATGTGTTAAAGGTACTATGGATTCTAGAATTTGGTTAAAAAAGACCTGCAGTTTGAAGCTCTCCGGAGAAGAGGATATAGGCATGACTGCGCCATGTGAACTTGCAAGCATATTGAGAAATAGACGGGAATAGTCCACTCAGTGCAGGACAAAAGGACGGCGAGAATGGCGCAGGATCGGATGAAAGCTACCAACGAGATCTTCCGTGGGTGCATCTATAAACAAAGCGACAAACGTCGCAGTTGATAATCCGAGAAAGACTGCGTGGCAGGGGGAGAATCCGCCGTCGTCGTGTACGATTCAATCGGGTCACTGTTCGGAACATTCAACTACGAGCGGACAAGCCATCTGCGGACAGTCAGATCTGACACTTGACTAATAGATGTCGAGTGAACGCTCAGTAAGGCAGTCAGCGTGTGATCTCCAGATCGACATACACCGGACGAAGGCTGCAGCTTCTGTACACTGCCAGAACCAGAATCTGCATCTGCGACTGTAATCAGCCAGAAGCTAATTCTCCTTCGTGGAGGACATCTGTACCTTGATTGGGTCACTCCTTCACTCACTCGCTCATACTGACATATAGAGAGAGGCAACTGAAGAACCAAGAATTGCAGTGGCGAGGACATAATTTGAACAAAGGTTGTCCAGATTTTAGACAGGAGGATCAGAAGTAGAATGAATGTCAGCCTTGAGGCGGTGAAGCTGTTTCCACGCAGCTGACTAAAGGTTGCGGACAAGAGCGTCGTTGGGCTGCTTGGGAGTGCGCACAAGGGTTGGTGGTGGGTGGGATCTGCAGGAGATAGTAGAGATTAGTCATGGGGAACTGCGCACCGATGAAACCAGCGGGGAGGTTGGTGCATCCGGATGGAAAAGTGGAGCATTTCACGAGACCCATGCAGGTTACTCAGGTGATGATGCAAAATCCTCAGTACTACGTGGGGCCACCTGCAGTTCAACAATCGCCGAAAGCCATTCTGGCTGGGGATGAATTCATACAACCAGGGCAGCTCTACTACCTAGTGCCCGCTTATCTGATTCCCCCTGAGATGTTCCGATGGCAGAAGAACTATGATGACGGCCGTTCGGGTCAAAAGTCGCGCAGCTCTAAATCCAAGGTAACGCTCTCTACTCATATCTTCCAGTTCACTATGATTTCCAAACGATCTGCTTTCCCGAGCACCAACCGCAAGCCTCAGCATATCGACAGTTTAGGCCATTCCTCTCCTTAACTTCCTCTTCATAGACAAGCAAAAGCAGTTGGTCTTCACCGCTATTTCATCTCAATCTATCAGTTATATTGACTTGACTGTGAACCGTGGCTTCAGTAGTGCTTACCATATTGATTGGGCTTGTCGCCGTGGAGCAGATCCATGCTCTAAAAGGATTAAGGTGATAATGTGCGTTCACTCACTGCATCAATGGAGCAAGTTTGAGGCACACATGGGTGCTGCTTTCTGTCACAAGCAGTGGAGGTATAACTCAAGACCTGGAGAAAACTTCGAAGTGGGGAATTTCCATCTCCATCTCCGCTGGCTGGCTGGCTGGCTGGGTCTCATGTAAGACTGATCCTGTCCGGCCTAGTTGGAGATGAGTGACTCCAACATCTATGTCGTTACTGGGACCTCGTTGGCCATAGTCTGGTGAGCAAGACACAAGTTTGCACCCTGAGACTTGGTAGGTAACGGAATGTAGTCATCTCCATATCCGATTAGAAGGAACTGATTATATCCCATTCTGATCCATTCACTGACTTTATTAAAGTTACGGTCCATTTTTGACCTGATATCTGAATCGGAGTAGCTCCACAAAGCAGAATCAGTGAAAACCCTCACTCAAGCCAAAGTTTAGATTCTGCTTCTTAGAGGCGCATTCCGTTTTCTTCCCTGGGTTTCAACATGTACATCAACGTAGGCCAATACCATCAGCAGCATATATTCACATATGCGTGTATACTACTAGTTCGTTCATTCAATTGTAAAGCTGCACAGAGCACAAGTTGACGACTTGCAGAATCAAATCTCTTCACAATAATCTAGACCGCTTGGAACTGAGTAGCTCACGGCTCACGATATCCTGTCCAATGGCATGTCATGGAGTGGCTTAACGACCGTATCTGGCGCGTAGATGCCCAGGCGAGAACTGGATATCCCCACCTCTCATCTTGCCCTCCTTGCTCAAAGCACAATGAACCCAAACAAAGTGAAATCACAAGACGATCGATATGATCGAGATTCCGCTTTGCTAGCCTCAGCTCTGTCCACTGGCTACAACTGTGCTTTTAAAAAAATGTTGTAAAATTCACAACATTACCACTCTTTTAAAATATGGTATTTCAAATGAAACCGCAGCACAGGCTGTGACTGTGATAGGGCATGTTCAGCCTTGCTGCTGGGATGGCAGAGATTGTATTCTGCAGCCAAGTGGAAGGAAGAAAGACTCTCGATGCCGATTTAGAGATCGTCTTTCACTGCGGCTCTGTGCTGCGTTGTGATGTATTGAGTGCCTGCCCTCTCTGACCATGCCCGAAGACCATCAGTAAACTACAGACCTGGCTACCTTCCACCTGTCTTCGTTTCAAGTTTCAATGTTGGGAGCATGCCTCATCTAGATTCTAGTCACCAGATGCTTCTCGGCCGCAGGTTTCGGAACTACATATATCAGGGGCTTTAGGAGGTGTCAGGTAGAACCTTCGATGATCATATTCCTCTACATCTATTAGATGGACACATCGATATCCTCGCCAGAGTCACCACCCCTCCTATAAATTTGCATCCCTCAGCTGTCCCGATCTGCCCTTTCTGAAAGACTGTAGGATATCCACATGCATATTCAGGAGATACAGTCGCACTGGGAGAGATCCACTGCACGTTGAAGAGAGTGACAGAGCATCTCCTAACTTACAATTCGATATGAAAATGTTGAACTTCACATTCCCTGTGAATGAGCATTACATTGGATGAGGTTTTTCATAGTACTCTAACTCCACCTTGTGCATCGAATGGCCATGGTAAGGTTAACGATGAGTAAGAAGGATGAGTACAAGTCCACCTTAATCAGTTGTTTACAGAATATAGAATACGTTGAGTTTAATTTTGCCACGATCCTTCTTAAATTTGCTCCTTCCATTTTTAAGCAGACTTTCTCTGTCACATCACAAACCAACAAAACAAAAAATTCCCTAAGTATACGGTTTAGCTAAGCTATAGATACATCAATAATTAAACTTACTTAGCGTTACTTTATTTCTTGATCCATTCATGCTGTTTCCAAAACTCAAGTTTGAAACCTATGTGAAATACGTGAGGATTCTCGTTAGATACCTTCTTTCCGCTGTGCAAATCTCTTCCACTGATATGCAGCAGGTTATTTGGGCAGTACATGACACCACTAAAGAGATTGCAGTCTTTATAACCCACTTGATGATGTAATTTATTGCAAACGATAACCTTTCAGGATGGAACAAAATGCTCGTCCTTTGAAAAAACTTGTACCTACATATAGAATGTTACCCTCTGATGTCCAATAATAAACTCACTAATCCCCTATATTTGCATTATGAAAAAATAACATTCAAAAGCTATTTTAACTTGTCTTTTGCAAATTAAATGTACTAACTATCCCTAGTAAAATCTGTGAAGACTGTCTTTTCTTATCTCTCTTAGCTTTTATTCCTAATTCATTCTCAGCCCTGTCCCTTCTATCTCTCTTCCTCCGATCCATTTATTTTTTCTACTTTTTTCCGCCTCTCTGACCCTTTTCCCTTGCTTCATTCTTTGTTTTCATAGTCTTTCTGCTTAATTCCTTTAGTGTGCTCCTAATCAAATAACTCGATACACTATCTCCTTAACATCCAACTAAAGTCGCCCATTTAACTTCAACTGTTCTGACCTGTAATTATTCGATTTCAATTTGTACTAAGCTGGACCTAAATGATTCAATCTAACCTGAAAAAGCATAATCTTAATCATTATGGATAGCCTATACATTGCTGAACTGTTATCGATATCTTCCAACCAATCATTGTGGCATTCGGCTTATGACATGTTGTTAGACCAGAGATTAGATCCGACAAAAAAATAATAAAAAAATCAATGCCTAGAGTTGTAATGTCAAATGAAGGTCAAAATGATATTTCTTTGAACACGCAAAAAACGCAATCGAACTCTTACAAAACATCATGTTTTCCCATCATGGACTTCAATGAAAGGCGAAAAGAAGAAAACAATCAACTGTAACCGCCCTTTATTCTTTTCAGTTTTTCTAAGTTTCCATGAGTAGTTCGAAGATGTGTTTATATTATTTTATTCATTTTGGAATTACAACATCGTAAGAGTTCTAACGTATACTTGTGGAGACTATGCATTGGATTCAGATCAAAAAAGCAAATAGATGAAGACTCAACTATGAACATTTTCCCCTCTTTTGATATAAAGTCAATATCATACAGCATTCAATTTGAATTGGAAAAATATAGAATATTTAAAACATTGGGGAACAGATTCCAAAAGCTCTCAATAATTATTAATTTTGAATATATATATATAATTAAGGAAAAAATTATAATCTTTTCTTGTCCCTTAGAAGGATTAAATTGTTATAAGGTTAATTTCTGGGTTGCTGATAACTATGAAAACAACTATTCTTAGGTCAAATTAGTTACTGTGGTTATATGCTAGACTTGTGAATACCAGTATTAGACTTAACTATAAAGAATTGCGTTCATAGAGTTCTGATAGAACTATCACTCCTGCCCTTTGGTAACCGATTGCTTGATTGTGTTTATATTCCATGTGATGTTGATTCTATTGTTGATGTCCTTGCAAATATAGATCTCATAGCTGGTAAAAGTTATATCTTCGCAGTACATAAAAGACCTCATCAAGAACCAAGTTGCTCTTTAGAATATGCTTGGTTAGTGTTATATATTTGACATTGGTGTGCTGTAACAGCAATGCAAAATCAAATACACATGATAATTGATATCCCAGTTACATCAGGTTCTAGGTTAGTATGAAGTCACGCGATGAGCCACCTAAGTTTTATATGGGAGACTATGAAACAAAATAGACCCCACCTCATCACTTTACAAGCAAGAAATATCTTATACTTGGGGTGAACAATCAAACTTCTCCTTAGCATATGATATTAAATCTTACAATGGACATAATGTGTTATCGTGGACAGTTTCAAGGTGATCATAATGGTAATCATGTGATGACTTTGTTGAGGGAATAAATTAGAGTTCACAGTGAACATACTGGAATTTAGTTTCACTTATGTTCAATACTGAAGTTTAAACCCCATTTTAGTTGAGATTTTTCGTGTGATATATTATTTGGATGTGAAAATTCGAACAAAGTGAACCTGCAAGTGGATGCAACAAGTTGATGCCTATCATAAACACCAAGTACGGATCATATCATTATAGGATGATATAAATAGGAGCATTCGAGATGATTCAGCAAGCTTCACATCAACGAATCTGGAAAATCCAATGGATCTCAAAGGAGATTGTTATATTATTGGAAACAGAACAAAATTCGTAGACTTTCTATTACAGGAAATTTGCTAAGATAACACAACCTAAGACCTTGAACACATTAAAAATTTTAAAACGCTCAAATACCTAAGCTACATATTTCAATAAACTTTTGGATATTATCAAGTTTACAAATTTCCTAATGCATTTCACAATTCTACATTAGCACGCACTTATAAACGGTGACATGAAACGAATCTAAATATTTACTCCTGCGTAGATAGATTTCACTGTAGGACTTGTCAGATTAATCATTTGTGCAGTTAAATTTCTTAGCAAGTAAGCACTGGATAAAGAGTAACAGCAATAGAGAGTATTGTACATCTGTTCAGTCACCACTCCAAAGGCGAAAATCCTAACTTCTGAAACTGTAAGTGATACATCAAGTTGTTTTCTAATCTCAGTGATCTCTTCCTAATGTTCCAATGTCAAATTTTTTTTTTCATTATCCCAAGCAACACTTGATAATCTCAATACTTTTCACTTACCTTCGGAAATAAAAAATAGAGTTAACTTTATTAATATGGCTAATAATCTGACAATAATACAATAACAACCAACTTACACATGCGGTCTCAGTTGAGGACTGAAAATTCAATTGATGAAGTTGTGGAAATGATAGCTACTTGAACATATATTATCAAGGTCACGAACCACGGCTCACTAGAGACTTTGCTTGCCAGAAGGACACGAAGCATTGAACATCACTACGCAAGTGAAATTGCGTCAGTTAAATACTATGAATATTAATGAAACAGCCTACTCCTGGAAAGCAATTCAAAGAAATCTAGCAAATTGAATCGAGATAGTGAGTGTGGGGGAGTGCGAGGGGGCCACCTCAAGTCGGACGGGCAGACCATCCAAGACATAGACTGAGCGAAGAAAAGCAATATTTTCTCGGTAATGTTTCAGCAAGTCTGAGACTGGAAGACAACGCAGGACCGAACTTCTGACACATCGGAAGAAGATGTATCTCTATCGGCACTTTGTCTCTGATCTGCGCCTGTTGACAGAATTTGGCCTGTTCCAGGATTAGCAAGTGAGAGGAGCAGAATTCCGCTGGACTTCACTTCACCACACTTCACAGTGCTCGAATCTGAATCCACCATTGCACTCCGTAAGCTGGGGGACCAATCACTTTAATATGGACAAATAACGAGCATCCAAAGCGGACAAAATCGTGCGATGTAAGTATATGCCACTGATGATGTACGATACAGAGTACCTGGAATTTGGAAGATGATCGTGGAATAAGCCCGAAGACAAACAGGGGGAGTCCGGACGATGGCAGACCTCATGCCTCAACTCAGGAGCACTAGAGCCCGCAGGTCACGAAGACAACGACATTGTGTACAAATGATTTTACATAGTCGTCCCCGCACAGCACAGGGGCGGAGGGATGAGAGAGGAGAGAAGCGAGCGTGGGTGCGCTCGATGGGCGGGCGAGCAGCGAACGGAGAGAACTCGGGGAGAACCAGCTGTTCGTAGGTCGTCGATTTGGCATGTTCCGTAGGAGATGCGTATTTTCTTACGTTGTAGCACAATACACAACAAAACGGCAATTAGTGATGAGAAGATCTCGAGTAGCCTGACGGCCACCGGTACATGAAAAGTAGATAGGCTGACAGTGGGCCCGAAGATTGTGCAGCCCCAGTGCCAGACTTCTGCTTTTCACGTGCGGAGGGCGTCCCTGGTGCGTCGACACGTTCACACCGCAATGCATCACCCGTATCTCTGATAGCTTGCAGTTCTGTGCTGCCAGATATCACCTCCGACCCCTTCACCGGAGCACTTATGATGGCAGTCTATAGTTCCCGTCCTTGTCCAGAAGAGCCAATCCTCCCTCCCTGCGGCTCCTCGAGAAACCTCCACTGTCGTGGTCAGACTCTTACTTCGTTCGAATGTTACCTCTCTAAGTCGGCTCGTCAAATCGTTTTTACCTTGTGGCTCCTCTGTCTCTCTTCCCATCTCTCTGCGTTTCGCCCTTCCCGCTTATATTGTGGTCAGAGTCCCAGCATCTACTTCGTCTCTCGCAATTCGCCGTCTTGGCAGTCTCGCGCCGAAGAGTACCTCATGTTGCACATTTATTTCGGAATTCTAATTTCATCTGCTGTTTGTTCATCGTAAAGTGGAGCGCTAGCTGGCGAGATCCACGTGCTTGTTGTGGAACCAGAAACGACGGTGATTTGTGGGCATTCCCTTCACAAGAATATGCTCTGTATTGTTAAAGGGGGCCAAAAAGTGAGACTCATGAATATATCCATGTACCGTACTCGAATTTAGATATCTATCAGATCACAGCAGTTCGAGGTGCAGAGAACTGTAGATGTTGCCCTCAACGGAGTGGACGTGGTGATAGATTGGAGAGAAAATCGAGGAGATACCGTTATGTCAGCGTCTTGACTAGAATGCTCGGGCGGAAATCAACTCAGCTTTGTTTGAAAATTGAGCCCAACCCTACTGGAGAGATACCTACATGCATTCCCCTGATTTCATATGATTGGCAGTATCTGGAGTTATCAAGGTCGTAGGTCAATCATTAGTTTGGGTTTGACTAAGAAAATATTATATATATCGATGAATCATTATTTCGGGTTTGACTTAAAAATATATTATATATGACGATATAATTCAAGAGTCTCTCTTTTTACCCCGCTCTAAAATACATTACGTTTTATATTCATCACATAGGACAAAATTCAAATGTAAATACCTCATCTGTTATCGAGAATCACACTGGTTATTACATGCAGGATTTGATGTCCATGATCACAGGTGAGTAAATTTGAAAGTCTTTGTGAAGAGAGAAACAGGTCTACGAGTGGAAAACGGTTCTTCTTTGAAATGTGGAAACATGATGATATTGGTTTGGGCATGGATCCGACCTCCTGCAACAGCAACATCAAAGTCGCATCGAGACACACAAGCGGAACGACCTTAAGCTGATACTTTCATGTCTTCCCAAGATTGCTACAAGGTGTGCTTTCTGTACCCTGCTGCAATTGTGAGGGTTTGGGTGTTATTATTTGACATGTACTGATCCAGCAACAATGATGCAAGTTCGGCCACTTCGGGGCTTCTTACATCAAAGCTTGGCATCGACTATATATAATTTTCCCTGTTATCTCCGAGCACCAAGAGTTTCTTAGAGAAGAGTGTAGGCATTCATATTGCTTGCTTGTGTGCGCTAGTGTATTGTCACTGATCCATACGAAGAAACTGCTCCTTCTTCTTGGCTATCTGTGAACACAACTCGGTTGCAACTATCATCGAGTGTCGGTCATAGCCTGGTTGTCACTGACAGTTGCAGAAGTGAAGTATTAGACCGTGCACGTTAAGGTAGCAATCTTCGCCTGCTCCACAAGCTTGACAAGAGTGCATGCTACGTACTTAAATCCTGCCTCCATGCTGCCTCCATCTGCCTCCATCGTCCATGCTGAAGGTAGCATGGACGACTCAAGCTACTCGATTTAACTGGACTGAGATGTATGCTCTTGTCGGTAAGTAGAAACAGACACTTATAAACGACAACCTCGCACCATCCCTGGTAGCCAAGCAGCAGCGACCGTCTTCCAATGGACTGATTTGCATCAAGATCAGCACACAGTATAAGAGTCTGAACAAAAACATATGTGCATGGATCAATCAGGTGTGTGCGGAAATGAGCAAAAGACCTGTTGAAGGTAGGTAGGCCGACGCAGCATAAGGAGATTTCGTATGCGTGGCGAACGCTAAGAAGAAGCAGAAATCGAGGTCCACAAACTGCATCGCGAACACTTCCCATCGCGCTACTACTAAGTCTCAAAGCATCACTAGCGGCAATCCGACTACGCAGTAAACTGGAGACGCAGAGGAGCATGCAGGCTTTCATCTGCAACAGTCAACTGCATAACCGGATCGCAGTGAGTAATGCATTGAACGCACGGCCTGAAGGAGCTCGATTCCGCGGAGGTATATTTCGGATCTCTCTCATCGGGAGGGAGCCATCTTTCGAGACTCTTCCTTTCGTTCGTATGCAGCAGGAAAGAACGGCCTCTTATATCCCCCCCGTCGTATGTGTTCAGGAAGGAAACCCTGCTCTCTTTCTGCCCACCTAACTATATCCGAAACGGCTCGCTCTATCCCTCTCCCCAGGGCTCTCTGCCTCGCGGCCTCTCCCCCACCGACTACCAAACTCACAAGGCGACGCTAGCGGCAATCCGACTACGCAGTAAGCTGGAGAAACGGGGCCGGTCCACGAATGAATGAAGGTATTCTGCCCCTCCCCGGGGTGCCTTTTTCAACAGCCTACTACATGGCAGGATTGCCGCTAGTGACACTCTGAGCATCCACTTTTGACATGTAGCACACCCACTTCTACTATACATGACTTTGCTCTCGAATTGGCTGCATTGCGTTTGCATGCTGGGACGGTCACTGTTTGCTCCTGCTCCTCCGAGGCGTGTACAGTTTTCTCAAAGCAAACGCCGCCCCCTCCGGAAGTCGGGCGTCCCTTCCCTTTCCCCTTCTACCCTTTCGAGGCTCATCGCCTCAAGAAATTTGGACCAAAGCGGGAAACTAAAATTAATATAAAATGGATGATGATCCTGCTCGCACTGTAGTGAGAATCATCCTTGGACCGGACAGGGAAGAGAGAGAGAGAATGTGTGCGTGTGTATGAACGTGTGTTTCAATACACCACGGCTTTGACAACAACATGCGAGCTGCCAATCGAGCCGAACTGCCCCACCCCAGGAAAGCTCCTCCCCTCTCAGCCCGACCATGACTGCTCTTCGGTCCAAGGAAGACCCTCTAATGAAACATAATCGCTCGTCGTTCTCCCGTGTTTAGGCTTATCTCTTGCCTGTCTTGCCTCTCTTGCCGGCTTTAGCTCTGAGCTTCCAAGTTCCAGCTATAATGGTTCCTCACTGCCTGCCCGCCTGCCTTTCGCCCTCCGGTTCCTCGCTTCTCTCTCTCTCTCTCTCTCTCTCTCTCTCTCCTTCCTCTGAGTCTGTGCATCTCGTCCGGAGGAAATGATTGATTTCTCCAGGGCAAGGGCTTTTCACGTCGCCCGCGCCTTCGAAGGTTCAATGAACCTACCCGTCTGGAGCCCGCCGTTCTCATGTAAGCCTTGCAGGAGGGAAACATTTGACTTGTCCTTTCAGCCCACTCAATCATTCCTTTCCTTTTCTTTTTCCTTGTCTCGACACATACTGTTGTCCCTTTACTCCTTATGCAATCTGAAAAGGCAACCAGCAATGTCGATGCATTGCAACGCAGGCACGCAGGCAGGCGGGCAGCAGCAGCAGGCAGCACGCTCCCATACTTTACAGATATTTCACGCCGTTCGCCACTGTGCTATAAATAAGCCTCAGGTTGTTAACCTGCTCACAAGCGAAGCCCTTCTGACTGCTAACCTCTCGCCCTTCTTCTTTATGTCACGTACATCAGCACCACCTCACGAAAACATAGAATACAGATCCCCTCGAGCCCGTCTCGTTTTCTTTGGCTTCTTTATAATTCTCAGAACTCTGGTATCCTATTTACGATTGCATTCTCTCACTCTCTTCGGAGATTTCTACTTTTCAGACCTGCCTCCGATACTGTATTCGCACTGACAGACGATGAAATTTCTAATGCTCAATCGCGCCCGTACCCCGCCATGACTGAGATCAGCCCACGCTGTGAGGGCGGTGATACGGGCTCGGATTAGCTGGCTAAAGGGAATCGGGATGGTCATGTTCTAAACGTCTGCCTCTTTACGATCATTAGTTTGAGACGATCATCGTCCGAGGTCTTTCTTATAATCAATGTATAAGAAAGACCTCGTCGCGTGGATTAATACTCTTCGAGTACGAGTTTCGTTGCTATGTAGACACGACCTGATTCGTTGGCACTTGGAACTTCAGCCTTGGCACTCAGCACAAGAAATCCTTAATTTGGTCCTAGTGCAGTGATTTATGCGGAAATCTCAAACGATGTGCATCGCCTGTTGCAGATTTGGGCCCTATCTGATTTGATTACTACTGACATTTTAGAAAGGTAAAATAGGTCCAAATATTTGTATAGGTGTATCTCCGGATTACAGATTCCACCCATATGTCGCCAGACATGTATAAGCCAGATGCACGTGTATGCAGTCAAATATGTCTATGTCAATCATCTTCACGCCTGTAAATATGAAAACAGTAATCTTCTGATAATTTCTCGAGGGGTTAACCGAAAATAAAAATTATAAATCAAGACTTTAAAATTGAAATGGGCATGTATATCCGAATTGATTTGATTTTCTAACCTGAATATTTGAAAGTTTTATTCTCGCTTTTCACGCAATATCATTAAACGCATTTTGTGCATATTCAATGTAGCTTTTCAAGATAAGCATGTGCAATCTACGGTTAGACATATAACTTTTTATGGTAAATGCGTTTATTTCGCTTATGTCACTCTTTTTAACATGTTTTCGTCAAGTGATAAAATAACTATGAGTCTAACTTATTGCTCCTCATAGCCAGGAGGATTTATGTGGCTGCACTTTTTTTGCAATATGGGCAGTTAGGTTGCCAGCCCGAACAGTGAACAGCCGTGTCAAATTACCTATGGTCTTAGTTTTTAAATTTTATTTGTGATCTATAACATATTTCTAATGCAAACAGAATTATTTTTTAAAATGGAGTTTGATCTTTATTGCTTATGATTATTGCAATATAGACCTGCAGATTTTATTTGATACAATCAAATATAGCAACGTTTGTGTACAGTTAATTACATGTTATTGGAGTGCATGTAAAAATTGAAAGAATAGGTTTACCTTGTAACAATTGAGTGCATTTTCATTCAAATTTTATGGTCAGGATTTCAAAATAAAATTTCACATACATTGAAGTAAATTCAAAATCATCAAAACATCTAGTGCTCATGACAAAAATGCAATTTGAATTTTATTATCTTATGATTAGTAAAGAAAATCTAGATCTCATCATTATATTTCATAAAATTTAATCTTCAATTTTTGTTATGATGCAATGAACTTTCTTTGTATTTTAATTTTTAATTAACTATCATATTTCATTTTTTATTAATTTTAACACAAATTATAATAAACTGAATTTATAGTATCAAAACTGTTGCATGCGATATTTTCAAAGCAATAAATCTGATATCATATTAAATTATCAGATATTTTTCATATTGGTATTAGAAAAAAAATTTATTATAAAATTAATACGATCAACTGGATCAGAATTAAATTTTACTTGAATCAAATATCCAAAAAATCATACATTAAATTTTTTTATCATGAAAGTTGTTTCAATAATTATCGAAACAACATATAGCTAAATAGGATTAATTGAGCTTAAAATATGAACATTTGATAAGTTTAAAGTTTTTATAGGCGGTTTTACTTCTCAAACACTTAAATTTCATTACATTTAAAAATGACTATTAAATATATATCACCATTATATCGGAAGATGAAAAATTTATTATCATTTATTTCTACATATAGCTTCCAATGTTTTTTCAATACAAATACTAAGTTCATAACTTCCAAAAAAACTAGTTAAATTGATTTACTTGAACACTAAAATTTGATATAATATAATTGAAATTGTGAAATAATTTATTTTTATTGCCTTACGTTATGTTTTCATCAATCATATTTTATTATGTTGTGATATCTATGTTAGAAATGGAATGATATATATCTTTAAAGATTCCAAACTATATGAAAATTCAAACATCGATGTTGATTTATATATGATTAGAGTAATTCTACATGTTGGCATTAAAGCAAACATTTCTGTTTAATTGGATTTCATCTCTTTGATTCACTTCGCATATGAGAATGCATGTACTATGTACATCAGTTGTACATAGTATATGAGTATCTTCCGTTACATCTAGATCTTACAATGTTCATAAAGTAGATGTCGGAGTATATTAAGAAAAGATTGTGAAATATAAGAATATTACTCAAAATTATACAGTTTTCTCTCCAATAGGGAAGATTTAAAACTAACCTCAAGATCCTTGAGTAATCGTATACCTTTCTCATGGTCTTGACATCTTACTGCTTATTTTATGCATCATTGTTACTAGTCTCAGTAATTAATAAACCATTTCATCTTTGAGGAGAATGAAATTCTTTTGGAACATTGGGCGGATAATTGTTACAACGAGATCGGGTACACAATAGAAGCAAACAAACATTATGATATCAAAATACTTGTTCCATGTTTAGGTCAGTTCTAGCTATATCGACACATTTAATCGTGGAGCAAAACTTTCACCTCGTTTCACTGAGATTTTCTTCTCACATCTGAACGATTGAGTTTCTTTATAAAACGGATCCAGCTCTACTAACGTTAATTTCTCTCGATTCTTATTTGCTTAATCAATTCGAGTACTCGGACTGTACCGCCTTAAAAAATGAAGACATTTGGTACCTCCAAGATTAATTCATTAAAAAAAAATCTAAATTTGAATGTTAGATTGTCAGTTGTCTCCAGAAGATTCCCATATCTTAGAACTGTTTCCTTTTCATCAATGGCGTAAAGAGCTCAGATACTAAATCATCTTAATCGGCTTGTACAAAAACTTCACAAGCAACAAATTTTCTGCTGGAAATCTTAGGCTTTTATCTACGAAACATCAAACAGTTGAACGTGGTACAAAGGGAGAAGAAAAACTTGTAGAGATAGCTTTTGCATTCAAGTTCTTCACGCTGAGAGAAACATTATCGTAGTCCAGGTATAAGATTCATCTCTTGAGGCTAAATTTATTAGCAGAGGGTTCAATCTTCATTGAAACACTATACCTCTTGAGAGATCTCGTTAACTTCGGTAACAACATGGGTACTGTCCAAACATCTGAACATATGTCCAAATTCCCGAGAGTCGTAGGGCTTCGGGTGTACCTAAGAAGAATAATGCCAGAAATCTTATTGAACGACGTACGGATATATTTGATATCGTTCCTTCTGATCTCCCGAAATAAAATCAAAATAGCGACAGCTCGCACCTTCACAACATTCATCATTACTTTGACCGGCCGAATTCATCTCCAAAAATAGAAACCAATCTCATGGATTCCTTGCCATCGCCGTTGCATGTGCTACCACTTTCTTCCTACCCAAGTTGACCACTTTTCCGAGGTGTAATGTGACCATCATTCCTGTGTTGTAGATCCTTTGTTGCAGACAGTATTGCAAAGCTGCCGTTATAAAGTGAACGCAGGGAAGAGGTGCTCTACAACTGCACAGTGTGGTAGAACCTATCTGGAGTATCTGATCTCGAGAATTCCATCCTGAACAACAGTCTCGTGGCAGACCCCGGGACTAAATTTGCAAACGGTTGTCGGCATCCACCTCTGGGCATGTGCTGGGGCATGGCAAGACAAGAAGATATGGTCGAGGACGAGCACCACATTACATTACCTACAACTTCCTTTGTCAAGCTGAGATTGGCTTTTGCGTTTGACAATGGCAGAACAAAGTTCATCATCGGAGGTCAAGAATTCTTTCCTGAGGGTTTGGACACAAGCGGCGTATGAAAACAATAAACGGTTGAGCTCTCCAACACATCCCAAGGAAGATACAAAGCTCGACCTGACCTTTGCCCACCTACTGAGCGCTCTGCAACTATGTGGGGAAGGTGATTTGCATCGCGTCTTGTATGAGGATTTCGAACCTCCTCTTTTATTGTGCCTTATTAGACACACCAAACATCAACTTTTATGCAAAGATCCGCTACCCATGAAGACCATCCGCCCATAATTCCATACAAGCTTCTTACTCCCGTGAAGACCTAGTGAACAACTGTACAACACCGAAGCTCGAAACTGGCCTATATTTCTATTTAAGGAAATGGTGAGAACGCCGAGACTGTGCTGGATACGTGGAACAGCAAATAAGATGAAAAGGTGATTGAAGTGTTGGTATACGGATTTGAAGGATATTAAAGTCTTAAATATACAATCAAAGTCAAAACGGTTTGTTTCGAGGTTCATCATTCCATGTGAAGGTTCCACGTTTTTGAATATACGAGATTGATAATGTTGTAGAATGCATGATAGTATTATGCTGAGTCTTTCTGCTGAAACTTCAAGGTACCCGTCAGTGGGACCAAGGAGGTTCAAATCCTAGACCCTTGCCTTGGAAGTCAGCCAACATGCCCATTTCATGATCCAACAATTGGAGGTTAGTGATGCCTCAAGCTCAGCTATGTAGTCGCACGTAGTCTGTGCATTCGTTACACTAATCCCAGTTTCTAATCAGTGATCTACGGTCATCTACCGTTTAGTTTTGGTCTTTACTAAACAGATTTGTTTGATACAAAACCAGTATTTTTTTCTATGTCAAACCATTCGGCACGATATTCCTCTCGGTAGTTGAAGAGAATAATTTTCATAACAGCTAAAAAGCTCTGGCTGACACAAAGTTGACCTGATTGCATATACAGTATACTGATTGATACTACTAAAAACTTCCTTGTGAACATGCTAGTTGAATCGAGCACTTGTGCTCGTTTCGACTGTATTAAAAAATTAATTACAGATGGTCTCCTAGAGAGTCCTTGAGATTCGGGACCTTTTCGACCTTGAGATGTCTGACATCTGTTGCGAGTTCGACGTCTATTGCGCATAAAACGAGAGTTTGATACAATCATTCAACGTTTAAATAAAATAAGCATCAGAGAGCACCATTACGGTAATTTCGTAGAATTGGATCCTCTAGAAGGGATCTTGCTACACAGTGCTGCGGTAGTATGTTACAAACAGAAGGGAATCTGGAGACATGGATTGTAGTTCGACCGTTATATCGCCATTAACAAACTCCCCAGTCTGATGTCAAGCCATGCAGTAGAATCAGGAAGAGTATTTTGACAACCGTTTACAAGCTCTAGGATTGTAGGAAAGAGTGGCCTCTGGAATTTTCCAAGGTTCGGAACAAAACCATCATGGCACAAATCTGCGTCTCTCATTCGACACACTGATTGCTCGTGACAGAGACTGGCATGTGCCTGTAATGTTGCAGATGGTCGCACATCGTGAAGCAGGTCTACTGTAGTCTGTCTCAGTACGGCAATGCATTGTATTGAACCCCCATCATGGAGAACGGTTTGACAAGTAATGACTGCAGAATGAGTGTTCAGGCACAAGTAGACAGCCCGTGATTATATGGCCCTGCCATGCGTGGAGGGTTCGGACAAGGTGATGAGAAAAACTGGACCACTGAAATCATTCTCATACACGATGCATCACAATGCTCTGGGAGAATCAGTACCGTTGTAATAAATCCGATAAGTCTGCCCCGATGCTTGCTCGAAAACCTCGCTGTATACCCTGGGTATAACGATGTAGACAGTGCATGCATGTGCAGGGATGATGGCTCTCCTTGCACCTTTCCCACGTTCTCCATGCAACGCATTACCATCAGGCGGAAGAATTACAGTGTTGTACTTGCTTATCACAATATCATTTTTTTATCTTAAGCAACTTGATTTCATTTCAATCCCCTCCAGAATCTGATGACCATTTTGAACTGGTCTTTCCCTTAACGTCAGTGGATCATGTTGAAGACCAGGACCACAAGACTAAAATCTTGTAGTCAAAGATACGTTCATCCAAAGACATACGAATAGCTCAATCACGAACTATTACGCAGTGATCAAATACGTCATTGCCAATTCTTGATCTGATGAGTTCCGTATCACTCGTTTAAGTTGGCGTGCTGTTGTTTTATAACGGATGAGCAATAGATATAGACGGGGAGTTGTGCGTCTGATCTTAAATCTATGTCTGTATTTTCAGATCACTACTAAAGCACTTATATAAAACTTGCTTTCGAAAATTCAGATCCAAAGTTTGAGTAAGATTTTATTCTTCTCAGAGTGGAATGCGACGTTTATTTGACATCGAGATCCTGGAGAAGTGACAATATCTGGGCTATGCCACCTGCAGGAAAGCACGTTCGACAATCGAGCCGAGTTGGGCAGAGAGCCCCAAATTTTATGTTCTCACCGATCCCTTCGGCTCGACAATCATGGCTTCCCTCCATGCACGCCAATATCATCAGGTTTCCTGACTGGACGGATCCCATCAACGATTCAAGCGTGGGAGTCACGATGCACATAAAGAGATGGCAAAACCTCCAGCCCATCTGATTGCGAACCGACTGCGAAACAATTGTCGGGGAACATTTTCTCTTTTCTGCTGATCGATGGTTGTAGGAATGTTCTGGTGGAGTTGCCGTTACCTTTGCTGCCACGTGCGTAGAGTAGAAGCGTTCGACTCCATGTCGGACGGGCCCCACGTCTCTGAATTTCCTGCACATGAGCGGCATTATGATTAGTTTCCACACAACTCTTCTCGTGAGCTGTTGACTGTGTGAGGATCGCGACATGTCTGAGATGCTTGAGGATGTCGCGCCTGCAGTGACAGTGGATGCATGCAAAGCTTCGGGAAAGATTTGGACAGAAGTCGCCCGTAAACATGGAAGCTCTCTGCACCCTATGGAGCTGGACTCACTCCCGAAAATGAGAGGATTAATGACCAACGCAGGGTACGACATGGAGCTCAAGGAAAAGAAGTCAGGATCAATAACCGGGGACCAAGCGGGAGGTCTTCACTTCACTGCCATCTGTGTTCAAACGCCACCATCGCTTTCAGCTCGATGATCGGTCTCTCCGATTGCACGATATTAATCAACTCCTTGGAAGAAAATAAACAATGTGGCGTACGAAAATAATCCATGTCAGCAACTGTAACTTCTGCTCAAAATTGTTTCCCTCGATGCAAATTTCCTCGGACTGTATCTGCGAAGGATCATGTCCGCAGAGCTATGCATCGAACCGGGCATTGCTCTGCGCTGGATGGAGGTTAGAGGGTCCCAAGTGCATGGTCCACGAAAGTACTTCATCGGGAGGGGCACATGTTGAGAATCCATCACAGAACCTGGTTCGGACGAGACAGCTGGGCTACCTGCCGAACCTTCTGCGGGAACATAACGCATCGCTAGATCTGCAAAAATGCTGCATGGACTCGTTGGGTTCCCGAGGACTGCAACAATTTGGTTGCCGAAAATTTGGCTCTTGGGTAGAGCTGAGAGCATGTGTTCGATTGAGATGACTAGCCTGAAAACCGGGTAGAGAACAAGCTCCTTCGGTGACATGACATTTCTGAGTTCAGTCCACGGCGTTTAATTGCACATTTATGAATGTAACGATGTCCTCATTCGGCCGAAACTAAACTGTATTCATCAAATACGGAGATAGATGCGAAGCTACGTTCGAGGTCAATGGAAGGTATGCCATGTATATGATCATAGATACAGCCCTTGCACGTTCGCCATCAGCGTAGGCAAAAATGATATTCACCTTCAATAGTAGCTTCTTCTAATTGGGGTCGACTCATTGATCTCCGATGTGAGGATGAAAATTCTATCGAAAGTACAGCAAAAAACTGTAGTGGCTGCGATATATTTCAGGCGATGTTTGTATTCTCTTCAGCAGAGAAGAAAGTAGATCTCAAAGCCTATAGAGAAAAATTCAAGACAATGTTGTGTGGAGTTCTTCTAAAGCCAAGACCTTTGTCATCCTTCAATATGAAACTCTTGAACCGATCTTCAACCGAGAGTTGACTCACATCCCATCAACCTTGGCTGTAAAACGAACAAAAAAGATGTTCGAAACGTTGACTTATTTCTCCTTACTTGAAGTCACCGACGTACATCAGGATGAAATTTCGGCCATTCAACTAGCTTTAAGGCCTGACCTGCAATCTCGACAACTTGTAGCCTCAGCCCAGCCATCGTGACAATAGCAGGATGCCCAACATTATGACCCGCCAACGCTCCTGTTTTCCGGTGACTGGAATTTGATTAGTACAGTCGCGTCAACTGTGTCGACGCAACCCCTGTAACGTGATCCCAAACGATCAGACTTGAATCTATGAAATGTCGGTTTACGACGTATCGGACTGCAGGTGGACATAAGGGAGCAGAATCGGCAATGAAAACTTCCAGACGCCTTTCACACTGCTCACATCGCAGGAGCCCTCTTAGATGTAAGTCACAACAGTTAACTTTATATATATGGATCAGGGTGAAAGCTCAGTGCATCGTGTAATACAACCTTGTATACGAAATGAACTCATCGGGCTACTTATCCACTGTGGGTGGTCAAGTTGAATGACAGCACATAACCCTACAGTAATCGTTGTGGAAGGACCTGGTCCGGGGGTTACTCATCCTCTGGCCTAACCAACACGGGGCTATCAAATTTTGTTTGGGCAATCAGTTGAAGTGCTCGTCTACTTCCAAAACTGCACACCTGTATAGTTATTAAGCCACCCATTCCACCCTTTGTTAGAAGTCCGACGTCATTGTGAGCTGCTTCACACTTATGTAAAAGTGCTCGTGAAAACATTGTTTGTGTGCTTGCTCCAAGTTGACAGGAAGGAATACAAAAAAGTACATCACGAAAAATCTTCAAGATGGGTCAACACGTAACACTCAGGAGCATGACTTGAACGGTTTTGAATTTCGCAAAGAGAGTAGAAAACATAACACGAGCTCCAAATGAAACCAGATTGGAGGCTGTAGTCCTTCGAAGAATACGATATCCGTTGATAACATGCATATAGTGCAACCTTTGCCGATCGCGAAATGAAGGCGCCTCTCTTTGGAGATTGAAACTAGTATACAGCTGAGAAGCCAGCCTGCGCTATGATTCCACCTGCTATTAAAAAAATGTAAAGAATTCTCCTTGACTAGACAAAGTCAGTTCAATTGGAACTAGGGATTGTAAGCCTCCATTCCCTCCAAAGATCCAAGCAATAAATGAGTCCTAATTCACAAATCCAAGCTCGCATAAGCCAGATGTTTTTGCGTCAATCTGGTTCTTGCCGTCAGGCAGTCTTTTTGTCAACAGCTTCCAATTCCTGCAAAATTTGCACATCATAGATTAGCTTCCTTCCGTTTCATACTTCAATGAATCACACTAGGGGTCCAAATAGAGATACTACCTGTTTTACGAACTCTTCAAAAATTTATTTTCTGCTCAGTTCAGATCCATCGTCACGTAATCCCAGTAATATGGTATTGTTTATGGCCTACCTAAAAACGAGACAAAGGAGGATACCGAAACTACTTCCTCCTAAAAGGGCAGAGTAAGGGATTGGCTATGTAGACATAAGACTAAGCGGTGTTACTCGATATAAACTTTTTGAGAAACAAAGTGCACCTTTCCAGACAGGAAATGCCGTCAATAAAGTTTTGGTTTTTCTGTCATTGAAACTAAGAGGCATCCATAACTGCCGCTTATCCGAGGGAGCAAAAAGTATGTACGACTGATGAATCACGTTCACGAAGCTCGATGGACATCTAAACTGCGGACTACTCACGTCATAGCAAAGTTTACTTTGGAATTCACTTCAAGGACGGGCAAATTAGTTACGGAGAGAATCAACATTACGTTCACATCACAGCATACATGCACGGACCATGTGGTTTATGTTTAGTGTTTACATGACCAAAGCTCACGTCCCCAGGCTGGTCTCGACTAATGAGTACGAGAGACTTGATATAAACTTTCGGCACTGTAACGTATCGGCCAGCGTATAACATTACTCGAATACTTCTCTTAAACGTGTTCTAGCGACGAAGAACATGAAACTGAGAAAAATCATTTTCATCCAGAATAATTGCAGTAGAGAGCAATAAAGGCTAGGTCTCAAATAAATGACATAGGAAGTTCGACACAGATTCGACACGATTTCCAATATCAATTAACAGAGACTTCCGGCTCGTCTTAACATTCTTGACCGATCAGACTTCAGATGATCCAGATTGTGATTTTACTCTGGTCTTTTAAAATCTTCCGTAGCTCAATTTCCAGAAATGTATTCTCAAGGTTCAATACGATATTCACAGCTAAAAGAAAGAGTACTTCAAAAAATCAGAAACATGACATGGGATTGCTGGGAAAAGTTACTTACAAGAGTCAGACTTTGCACGCGTTGAGTCTGAGTCTTCCTATGCGGTCGAACGCTCTCATCAGACTGTCGTAATGTTCAACAAAAGCAGGATTTAGAAGACGCAACGAATCTCGTGGATAGAAATTATAAACGAATTACATGCGATACACTAAACACTTTATTGAGCGAACTTATGGAGATGAGCCCATCAGAAGAGTAAACGAACGAAACAAAAGACAAGTAGCCCATCTGATCAAACAGGTACTCGTTTGTCCATTACCTGAATTCCATCGATTTTCAGTTGTACTTGAGTCAAGAGCTCCAAGAGTCTTGAGTGCTCCTAACGACACGAAACGAAGGCGACATCCAGCAGACAATCCATCAATTTCGATGTCAAACAATAGAAGAATCATCAACACAAAAAACAAATCCTCCAGAATACAAGTATAAGTAAGCAAAGAGCATCGCACAGAAAGAGTATACAACAAAGAACCCTACAAGAAAGGTATGGAATCTTTTCTAAGCAAGTCTACTCCGCAGGTTTGCACTATGAACCTTATATTCGTCAAAATTCCTTCTTACAAATAACATTATTTCACATCAATCAAACGAATTCTCAAAAAGAACCTTTGATCCGAACATGAATTAAGATAGAGTGAAATAGACATCAATTATCGTACAATCCAGACCTTTTCCGATGCAGCATCCAGTCCTTCAAGCTCCTTCACAGAGGCAAGAAATGCAGAGGCCTCCTTTTCTAGCTTGTCCACCTGGATAGTGAGTCGCAGAAAATGGAACATTCAGGAGATGATGATACGGTCGACAGACAACCAAACTGAAATCCCAACCGAGAAGGCTCCACCTGTACTAGGGTTTGGAGTCTGTGAAGAAAAGAGTTGGTTGATAGAGACACGGTCTGATTCTCTTACTTGCGAAACATGCAGGAAATAGTAACAAACAAAGCAGAGTAAACGGAGTAGACTGAGAACGATTACAAAGAAGAGATAAGAAAAAATATAGGAAAACAAACAAACGGAGGAGCTGAAACCAAAACAGAATCTGTCATATCACACCTCGCGAGTAAGTGATAGGATTCTGCCCAATGGAGTCGGCTTAGCGACCCCTGGATTACTAGCGGTTGTCCCATGTCGGGTCCTCGCTTCTGCTGCCTCCACGCGCCGGGCCCGAAGTTCGGCTAAGCTCATCGGTCGATTGCCTCCACGGGGCAAGCCCTCGTCATTTTGGACTGGGTTGTTGGTATCATCGGAAGGGGAACTCTTACCGCTTCCACCAGTACGCCTGCCTACAAAACACATTCCGTTATGTCAACCCTTTGCATGTGCATTGATGCGCTTACCGAAACTTTAAGTGACATGCAGAGCTAAGGCTAAACCTTTAGATACCCACGCTGATTTCTTCAGGTTGGTTCATGACCGGAATACTTGTGAAGTAAGTATATCTAGCTATTCTTAAAGAGAAGTCAGGTTTAGAGGCATTACTGGTAATACAACTACAGCATTGTTTTCAGAAAGAATATCTTCAAGGATGCCGAGACTCATACACTTTCGTCTCCAATTCTAAACTCATAAATCATCGGTCACAAAGAGCAGAAAACTGGTCGAAACAGCTTGTACAGCCTATGCTGAAGGATACTTCCCTAGTATGGCGTGTCTACATGGAGAAATGAATGAGACGAGGAACCAGAGATACAATCATACGGTTTTTCAAAGAGCCTTTGGCTTAAAACGCGTTCAGGTTGCTTGTGAAATAAAGCAAGCCTCCCTTGTAATGTAATTAGTAAGGATGAACAAAATAAGATGTGGTTCATTGACCATATAATAATGAATGGATTAACTGAGCAATTCTCCTGATAAAGCTAAGGTCCCTAATGGATACACCTTGTTTCAAACAATACAAATTCAAAGGTCGAGAAAACACCTCTCAGGATGGTGAGTTGATTGTAAGAAACTAAGACTGAACTAGTAGACCTGAGTCTATTTGCGAGATCATTAAGGACCTCTGGTGGCAATGAAGAGGCATGAGGCTACATTTCTGCAAATTTTCAAAGTAAAACTTTCAAAAAGTCTGAATGAACGGACGACAAATTGGCCGAGCCGCATTGCTCCATTCGGAACAGGGAAAAACCTCCGACCCTAACAAGGCCGAAATCACATCTTCATCCACATTACAAACTGAGAGAATCCTCGGCCCTGAATTTGAAATAATGAATTCCAGTGCAAAGAGCGTGTTCGACACAAATCGGCACAAACCTGCGCGCTTATTCGCAAAATGTCCCACAACGAAAAGAGCAGCCGCAGCAACGACCATAAAAGGCCAATTTACGAGCACAGGTTTGGCATAATCCTCGTAATACGCCGCTCTCTGCTTCATACCTCCTTGATTCCGACCGATCAAATTGACTTTACTCTTGCCTCTTGTCATGCTCGTATCACAAAAACAGCGTACCAATCAGCTCCTGACCGATGTCATCCCTTAATTGTTCCATCAAATCTGAACGCAGAGCAAACTACTAGCCAAACGATTCTCGATTCTGTCGATCCAGAACAGCATAAACTCTCTCTGAGATGAATCCAGCGGGCAATCACCGACGTGCAGGGTCAAGCCAAGCCCAGGCGAGCGCGACGACTGCAAACGATTCGACTACAAACTGCACCAACGTGGCGAGAAATTTACGAAGCGAAATCACGCTGATGATTTCTATCTCATCACTATCTCACCATATCCAAAGCCACACACTAAGCGGAACTCTCTATCGACGGTAAAGATTAGCCTCTAGGGCTGCGTCTCGCTCGTTTCGCTAATCTGCCTGAGAATGAATCCGAAAAGCCCCCACCCAGAGATTCTGCTGCCACCGGCATCTAATCATCTCGAATCTGCTCTCTCTACCGAAAGGCTGTCGATCAGTCGTCCCTCAGTCCACGGAAAGTTCACCATTTTTATTCTCCGCCGTGCTCCTTCGCATGTTTTCGGTGAGTATATTATTGGCTTACGATAACCTTTTGATTATTTCAACTCCCCTGTTTTACCTTGACATTCTTTAAACAAATGTTGTGCGCGTGTACATGAACTAGATATATTCTCATATTTGTTGGCTTTTTTTAATTGTGACCACAATAAATTACATCGTAATGGCATAACCGAAAGAGTGGTTATATTGCATTGTCCATAAAATTAAGTAATGAACTCACCAGCGAAAGACAAAAACTCTTAAAATAATCAAGAGCTGAATGCCGCACTCCTTTTCCTACTTTTGAACCAGTTCATTTCCGATATTTTTGCAATAAAGAAGTGCATTGGAATTTTATGTCAAAACTTGATGATTAATTTTTGAACATATCTTCGCTTATAATGAAATATGTCTTTGAAATCTTAATGCAGAAGATTGTGATAAAAAAACTTATACTCTACAATTGATCTCAATGTAGGATAAAATTTTAAGGCTTGAAAATATTCTACTTATTTTCTTTAAAAAATTATTAATATCACGTGATATTTTTTCATAAAATTTTAGTTAAGTAACTCCAAAAAACAAAACGCCACTGACTTATTTTGAATAATAAAATCTTGATTTTGAACCTAGAATAGTTTTACATTTCACCACAACATTATTTTATTTGTTACAATTTTTTTTAAATAATCTCACTATAATGTTGAAATTTTCAGATATTATAATATTATTATTCCAGCTTAATAATATTATGCTGGAATTATTAAGCTGGAATAATATCGAATTTTTATCTAAGAATTCAATTTAATAATAGTCAAAGTGTATTAATATATTATTGAATTAAGTTTGATCACGTCGTATAAATTATTTCATATATTCATTTTGATAAAATTGTGTCATTTACAATGTTTATTGGTTTATTATCAGAACCCATGCAAATCATATAAAGATCCAAAATTATGTGCTGAACATTTTCAACTACATCAGTTCACTTGATGTGTTGTCAACTCAATGATCTTCTTCTTTAAGAACATTTTTTATGATTATAAGTGTAATTTTATAAAATAAAATGTTCAATTTAGATTACAATTCAATATAAACATTACCATGAATCATTATGTTTGAATTTATATCTACTAAATATGATAGTTAGCTTCATTTGGATTAATAAAAATTTATCTGAAATAAAATATTTTATTATTATTTTTTTGTTGATCATATCATTTCGGTAGGAAATCATCTTCTTGATATTTAGGAAAAATTTGAAAACTTTTAATATCTTATAATGTATAAATGTAAATAATATACGGATTATTTGATAGAAAATCGGTATTGAAAATAAAAATAAATCAAATGGAATAATGATAAATCAAATGACAGACTGATAAAAGGTATGACATCAAGTTATTTTAAAAAAAAAAATTCTAACTAAATCTTCATTTATGGCTTCATGGGCTAAATATTCATTTCATAAAAAGAAGCATACAATAATGTATATTTTGCAATATGACGATACATTTGCACAAATTTTGTTTTATTATATGAAGAAATTTAAGCTTATTTTAAGAAATTGTATTTTATAAACTAATATAAAATATATATGATATTGTATATTATTGTGAATTTAATTTTAAATATATTTTAAATTCAATAAAATTATTTATAAATGTTAATAATTATATCTAATTATGTATTGATATAGAATTTTGCATTAAATTAAAATTATTCCATCTAAGATACTATATAATATGTAAACTATATAGAATATGTATTTTGATTTAGAATAAAAATATTTTACTATGACATCAAGAATTATGCCCAAATAATTTTTCGTTGTAATTATTAAAGTGGATTGTTTTTTTAAAAGATGAATTAGAAACATTTAGAATTTATTGATGGGAGAGAAATTGGTACATATTTTTTTTAGTTCTTAGAATTTGTCTTAAGTTTCAATCGATGTTTCATGATTGTAAGAACATACTTCTGATTTAAAAAATATGCATCCTATCCAATAAAACTTTGGAAAAATATGGCTGTATAAATAGTGGCAAAATTGTATCAAGGTTTTGTGAAGAACAATCTATTCGTGTCATTTGAAAACGTGATGGTAGTATCGATTCTGTTCAGAATATTACTTATATTATTTTGGACAACGTGTGTACATTTCTCTACATAGAGCCTTAGCTAGTGCCATCTCGATTGTTTGCAGACGTTGAGTACATGGAATGGAAGTGAGACAAATTGACCGGTTGGGTACTGTTCTGATGACCCAGCCCTCAATAAACGTTTCCCTCCATCTTCTCAAAAGCTTGAAATCCACTTGGTGGGCCCCTTTTCCCCGTCTTCGTGACGCTGGCAGGGGTCATCCCACCCGTTGTTGCTCGTTTTGCTCGGGCGCGCCGTTTCTCTCGGAAATGCGAGGCATCAGATCGTAGAGCCGGAAAAAGGTTCGACCGGAAAAGAGGAGATCCGTCATTCTGCCAACCGAAACGCAAATTAGGGCGCCGTAATTGTGAACTAGGCAGACGGTGCATCTCGTTGCGTCGTGGTGCGCGCTTGTCGAACGAGAGGAGAGAGAGTGGGAGAGAGTAGGGTTGCGCAGAGCTGCAGAGATTTCAGCGATGGCGGAAGCTCCAGCGGACGAGCAGCTGGAATTGATGAACGAGCAGGCTGTGGCGGGAAAATGGAGCTATCTGCGATCGGAATTGAATCAGCTGCACTCGAAAATAACGGAAATGGATATGGAGCTGAGTGAGCATTCGTTGGTCATTGGCGCAATTCAAAATCTCGATCCCAGCAGGAAGTGTTTTCGAATGATCGGAGGAGTGCTGGTGGAAAGAACCGTGGCTGAGGTCTTACCTGCTGTGCTAAGAAACAGGGAGGGCCTGCAGGAAGTGATCACGAGGCTTAACGAAGCACAAGAGAAGAAGAGGAAAGAACTAGCGGAATTCGAGAGCAAGTACAAGATCAAGATACGTAGAGGAGGAGAGGGGAAGGTGCCTGAGCAAGAAAAGAAGAGAGAGGGAGCTGCACAGGGTGTGCTGGTTGGACCGGCCAAGTGAAAGCCAGTGAAGTTGGAAAAGCTGTCCACCACATTTGCTTGCGTGATTCGCACACGAGTTTCGGTGTAGGGTTTGTACATACCGCTTTTTTCCAAGTTTTGTAATATCAGGAATCTTGCCAGTTGGGGAAGAGGACGATGCTTGAGTGATTGAATGTATACAAATTTGTCACATGATGTCAACTGTTGGTAGCTACGTTTCTGACAAGCTCCCGTTGACAGTATTTCTAATGAGAATATCGTAGAATGCTTTTGTAGGAAGCTACCATAATGAAGATGAACTGATCACATTGTGGACTGACTTTCCGGATCCATCTAATTGTTTATATGTTTAACAGACATTTAATGCGATGATAATCTCTTTGCATTGCTATCTTGCTCATCTGATTTGATATTATTTGCAGGTTCACTGGGTGACGCCGTCGTTAGATCGCATCGAAGGATCCGGTTGTCATCGTAGTGTCTTCCCTCGAACTTCATGCCATTACTTTTTGCTTTCTCATCTTAAGAATGTGTCCAATCTGGGTAGTCCCCCTTTGATGGCCGTTAAGTCATTAGCTTTTAGACTTTTCTTCGGAGCTGAATGTATCAGATATACAACAAGAACATAGATCGTCTGATGGAAATGGAGAGGTATTAGCACGTCAATGAACTGAGGCAGAGGTTCATAGCAGCTCTCATGGATTGACTGGCTCCATCACGGATGTCTGGCGCCCTGAACCTTTCAAATGTTAGGTTGTACTTTTCTTACAGAATTTTACTATAATCAGTGCTCAATTGTTCAATGTCCTTGATGCTGCAAAGTTTTATTGGTGTTTCCATATGGTTTCATCTCCACGGAATTGTAATTATCAGTGATTTCTTAAAACCGTACATGCCGGTGTTTGCATCCACAAAATCCAGCATAGCGATTATTGGGAGTGTCAAGCATGGTCAGTGGTGATGCGCAACTTGCGAGAATGAGTTTAAAATATTGAATTCAAACCCACGCGTATGATGGACGTTCTGGAGTATTTGGCTCGGAGTGGATCAATTAGTGATGGTTTTTCGACCTAGAACAGTTTGAGGGATGGAGCGTACTGAATCAGTCCCTTTCCTATGTGGCTGGCTCTGATGATTTACATTTATGTCACATGGGATGTATGTTCCGGTCCACTGACTTATTTTCTTGTTAAACGGCAGGAATGTTTTGACCTTTTTAGTAATTCGATGCCAACTTTTGGGTTATCCATGTTATGCTCTCAACTTGCAGGTTGCCTTACGACGTCTCTTTGCTTGTTACCGAATCGCAGAACCTATTTTAACAACAGGAGTTTCTGGACATCATAGTATCGAATGTTTCTTGACGAGCAGATTCTGTAGTGCCATTCATTTTTCTCGTTATTTGGACTTATTCTTTTCCAGAGGTCATTACGTTTTAGTCACTATCCTACCTGAAACAGACTCATCTACATAATTACGTAGCTTATCGGTCAGCAATCGTACTCAGGTGAGTCGAATCGTTCCCTATGCTATTGGTTTTAACAACCTTTTGGGGTCGGGATTGGTTGAAGTCAGTTGTAGGCACCGATCCCAGCACTTTTTACTGGAGATATGGGTTTAGAGACTGAGAATTCGTCAGAACCAGTACTTTTTACTGTGGGTAACAGCTGAGGAGTAATAATGTGTCCTTTGTTCATAGTGGACTAAAAATTTTGCTCCACTAGGGCAGTAGTGGGATCATATTTATATTGATCTCAGTATCACATTCTTGATAGGGACATGATCACCTCTTTATCGACTTTAGACTTACGAGCTGAACTCCTTTTAGTATCGCAAATGAATCGAGGCGTTCTCTTTCACCCGAAGTGAGAATCACTGGGAATCGAAGAGATATCTACCGAACATTGTTAACTCTGAACGGATGATGGTCCTAGTTCTGGGTTATAGGTCGAGTAATAATGTGTGGTTCTTTCCGTTACAGAATACAGTATGATGGAAATTTTGTTATCTTTTCTCTGCCCTCCTGACTTTACGCGCTTCTACTTCCAGGATTCAGTCCGCGAATGTCTCATTCACGTCTACCATGTTGTGTGAAGTATGTATTTCACTTTGTGGAGCCGTTTCGGACATGTTATGCTTCGTACTGTGTACTTTCTTACGAGACCTTTGAGTAACGGTGTTGTGACGTGCACAGTCTGGTGTACTTACTTGGGAAAATTACATCGTGAATCGTGTTCAATATACCCTGCTTCTATGATGTAGACACGTGTTGTAACCATCAACGAATCTCATTGGAACAAAGGCAATCGACTTTGTGTGGAAAGTCGGTGCAGTGCAGTTGTTTCATGAGTTATGAGCCACTTGAGTGGAGCTCAGAATCTTGGTACCTAGATAACCGTTGCAAGTCAACTAACAGCTGAGGCCTTTCGGCTGGTGTTATGTCTGATGAAATCTTCATCGTCACTGACGTTCCCAGGCTTCATACCCGTAGTCATTGTCTGAACCAGGATATGTTATTAGAAAGTGTGAGTTTAAAATCCCATGCCAGAAATTACCTCATTGATGCTTGATCAGGATAAGGTGGTACTCATAACTAAGTGCAGGCCAGGGGAATGTTAAATCTTCTGGGATGCACTTGCTTTCAGATGCTGGACAACTCTTCAGGTTTTTGAAATTTGTTATAGCAAAATGACAGTCGAATTTGTGCAAATTTTCCTGGAATCAGATGAGTTAGCCTTGCCAAAGTCAAGTTAGCCCTCAGTTATCAATAGCAAGCGTTACATTACATTACTGAATGGGCGAGTGAATCACCTAACCTACATGCCTCTATGTAGCCGTCCTCTATTTCCTTATGTCCTACGTCAACCACGCAGTGTACATCACTCTATGTAACACTGTACAAAAGCAATAAATACTTTTGTATGTTGAGAACATATTATGAACTGTCGATAGCCGCTTAGGTGTAAGGAGTCCTCTAAGGCCCGAATTAGAGACTATACCTCCATACACGCTACCCTTAGTCCTTACTTTCCCTACAAAACTTCACAACTCTCCCTTTCAACCTGAACTGACATGGGTATGTTGTTGTAGTGTTGCGTCAAAATATCAGCATAGAAGAGAAGCAAAATTTCCAAGGTCTATTTGGCGGCGATTCGTTGTAGGCGTCTGTTGGTAGAGTGAATCGTCGACGAGAAGAGGTAGTGTATCATGCGTCGTCGTTATGATGAAGTCTGCGTCAATTGGTCAAGCTCTATCTAGTATGCATGGAACGTGATATGGGCTAGTTGAATACCTGACAGCTTCTGGCGGAGAAAAACGATGTACCTTTTCGTTAAAGGGATGCTTTAAAAACGCTGTCGAGAATATGCATGGAGTGTTGAGTGTTTCGTTCATATGAAGTGAAGGAAGTACTCTGTTGGTGTCAAGGGACTGACACGAGCAGGCAGGTCGTTGGAAAGACTTCCTATCTGGTACCAGCAGTCGTGCATAGCTGGCGTGTTCTAGTTACTGATCTGGTTTCAAAGAAAATATCAGTACTCTCTCTCTCTCTCTCTCTCTCTCCACAGACCTTCAAGACCGATTTTCTGCAGATCTTCATGCCAACTGGTCTAAGTCCAGGTCAATTGATGCACGACTCCAGACTTTCGTAGTCATAAACTTGCCATGAAGGGGAGTGAAGTGAATTAGTGCAATAAATTTGAATCACCTATTCTGATAGCATGCTTGATTATGCTAGCTAATGACAGCTCACTATTCCCACGATAACACGAAGGAGAGGGCAGGATAGACCAGAGTCTTAAGCTAATTGGCTCAAACTTTCACTTTCAATATTATATTACTGTCTCATAGTACAATCTCTAATTTTCAAGGCGACCCAAACTCTATGAAGCTGGGAGATCCCAGGGCCTCTGTTGAAGTTACTATTGTTGTGCCTAGTGAGCTAAATGCAACCGCTAACTCGAAAGACTGGACTTTTGCGAGGCAGAAGGTTACCCTGGTTAAAACATACTGCATAGAAGTTCCAACTTGATCTTGATTAAGTTTAAGTGCAAGCACTCCCCTAATCTCAATTTGCCAGAGACTAGGTGTATGGGGTGAAAAGTATCTGAAGTGCAATATTTGCACTTCCAAAAACTTTTGTACAGCTGAGAGGTAACATTCGTGATACATCAAGACACATGTACTGTCAGTCGTACATTGTATCATGATCCATTTTCACTCTTATATATGAATGTTGTGTAATGTACACTGATTAAATCAGAAACTCAATATAGTAGGAGTGTATTTGGAGCCCAGGTTGAAGAACGGAATTTAAACGTGAAATGATACATTACAATGTACCATTCATATGACAGGGAAAGCCCTGGAGAATGAAAAGACTATTCAACGCCGGACCACAGCATTTGCCCGACCTGTAGCTACTTCACTGAAGACGAGGCAAAGCTCAGCAGAAATCCGGACTCAAGATTGAAGTGTGCCAGCAAGAATGGGTAGCGGAAAAGGTGATGGAAAGTCAGAGTAAGAACCACAATTGACAAGCCCCACAAGAGTCAGATCACCCGCCTGCCGTGCGGCACCGGACGTGCCTCTTAACGAATAGAACTTCTCCCCCGTGCTAGAACAAGGTCTCACACACTCGGAAGTGACGACCAGTGAAGGCAAGGGGAAATCAGAGCAAATCAGAGCAAAGCAAAGCAAAGGACGGGGCCATGCAGACTGGACTCAAACTCTCAGACTATCATACTCACAGAGCGCCAGAGGGCTTAGAGTGCCACAGAAGCGACAGGCGCGCGACGTGACCGGAATGATGGGGAGGGCCCGAGAGCATGGCTGTACCGTGCGTGAATCAAGAGACGAGGGCTAGGGGAAAGACGAGATGATATGATACGTGATCATATCCCAGCAGCGACTTGCCAGCAGCGACTTGCCTCACGAGCGGTAGGGTCGGGCAGCGCAGAGCAGGGCAGGGCAGGGCAGGGAAGGAAGGCGGGGTGGGGGAGGGACTGGGGCCGGGCGGGGCTGGTGTGGTCGCGGGAAGGGGTGGGGGTTGCATGAGCGGGCAGTGCGGAGTTCTGTGTAAGCGGTACGAGAGGGATTTGCTGAAGTTCGGGCTGCGGAGCGCAGGAAGGAAACGGAAGAGCCATCAAATCGTCGCCTGGACATTTATGACACCAGAGATCGGTGCGTCGGGTCGAGTTGACGAGAATCGCAGTATCATCGAAAGCGAGGGTGATCCATGTGCTGTAACAGACGGTGCATCGTAATTATTATGAGGTAAAAGCTGTTGATGATTCGTCTGTGCGCTCTGGTGGGCATCGGATTTGACGGGCCAGGCTGATAGCGAGAGAGCGACCGAGAGAAGGATGGCATGGGGAGCAGAGCATAAAAGAGTGTGTAGATTCAATCTCATGGCGCAAGTGTACCGCAATCGTGCGCCACTGGGTCTGTCGTCGTTCATGTTGGCTCTCCGTTGCTGCAGCAGCTTCCAACATGTGGGAGAAAATCGTAGACTTGGTGCTTTTCTTGCGTCGTTTCATGCTGCTGATCGTGTTGCTGTTTTGTTGGTCAGCCATTCAGGGTAAACCCTGGTTCTTCTTCCTGTCACTGCTGCTCTTGTCGGTCGTCAAGCTCTGAAGATGCTGGCAGCCGTCACTAGAAGAGGTTCGGGGCTAAACCCCAGCCTCTTGTCGCGGTCGTCGTCCTCGTCGTGGTCTGTCGTGTGTCGCGCCCAGACGAGCGGGGATTGCTCTCGCACTCCTCCATCGACATCCGCGAATGGAGTCGTTCGAGAGGGAGCCGATCGGAGCTCCGAAAGTGGGGTTTTAGGGTTCGGACAGCGATTTTTGGGCCAATTCTCGTCGAGATCGAGCAATGCCCAACAATCGCCGGTCGAAGGGTGTAAGATCAGTGGCGTGCCCTCAAGTTGGAGTCACTCGGGGCCCATGCGGCTGAATCAAGTTCGAGGGTTCATTCAGTTGAAGACGAATTTGGAGGTGGCGGACAATTCCGGAGCGAAGCGAGTCCAATGCATAAAGGTGATGAAGGGATCGAACGCAGCCAAAATTGGCGACATCATCATGGCGTCCGTGAAGGACGCCCAACCTCGAGGCAAGGTGAAGAAAGGTGAAGTGGTGACTTGCGTGGTCGTGCGTGCCGCAACTCAGAAACTGAGAAGAGATGGAAGCGAGATCAAGTTCGACAAAAACGCCGTCGTTCTGGTGAACAAGCAAGGCGAACCCATCGGCACTCGAATCTTCGGCCCTGTACCGCACGAACTCAGGCGACGCAAGTTGGTGAAAATCTTGACATTGGCTGAGTACGTTGCCTGAGCAGCAGCAGAGTCTACCCGGCGTTCGCCAATTATCTCAGCAGTCGATGAGCAGTCGATGATCGGGTTCTGAGTTGAACCCTTTTTAATTAGGTCACCGGTCGGTGTCATTCTTATGCAGAGGGTGCCCATTGCTCCTACCTTCGCAGATACCCTTTCACCCACGGAAGTTATCGTCTTTATCGTCAGATGTACATGTGGGAAGCAGGTTGCATGCGGAAGCATGTTATGCTAAGTTTTGTGTTGATCCTTTTGGCTGCGGTCATAATTGATATTTCATTTAAATGTCTATGATTCCTATTCAACTCAATGTGAAAGCAGTATTGGCCGGAATGTTTGCTCACTCCTCTCGAAAGTTTCCTTGTGTATGATGTCATATGATGAGGTCTTCATTCTGGTAAGGAGTGGATCCTGGTCATGATGACAATGTCTGCGGGAAGGCCAGCTTTTGGTATGTTAGTGTGTGTCATCAGCTGTCCAACGTCTTCAGCTGGAGCTACCCATGGAGACAATTCTGGGAGCAAAATTGCTCATGGAGTAGATAGCTGATCGGATAAAACTCTGAGTGCTACTTGGCAAAGTTTCTGTGAATTGAGGTGGAAGCGAAATTCAGTGTTATGATGTGACGAGATGAAGACCTTTCAAGTGGATGATCACGATGAATTTGAGAGTAATCAGGGCAGGGTGATAAGAGATTGCTTTGTTGATATAGCTCTTGAGCAGAACGCTCCTGCAAAACGCAGGTGCAAATGTGCCACAACACAAACATTTGAACGCCTGTCCGTGTGGTGCCTCGATACAGGACTAGGCACCACCCTGTTCTCCATTGCGGCCACCTGACAGAGCAAATTCATCAAGTCATGCCATTCATGCTCTGTACTTTCGTACACACAGCACAAGCGTACCTACATGACACGGAGGTAAGACTGAATGAGGGACTAACATATTGTTCTAAAGATATGTGTGCACGGCCTGTATCAGAGATGTGGATTCGCATTATCAGATTGATGCCGAATTCACATCACTATCCCATCCCAGTGCTAAAATCACGGAGGGGAGCAGACGGGTTGTTGTGAGAAAGTCAATAATGTGTCAGCCCTACAATGGTGACATTGCTGCAAGGGTGCCACTTCGATCTCGTCAAAGCATCATGTTCACTTGGTAGATTGGAAAAGGTGAAACGAGCCGTCACTGTCAGACCAAAATTACACATCGGATTTGAACGATTCGTCCAATGTAACGTTGCAGCTTTTACAAACAATAGTTCCCATTTCAATGATCCCAAGTGGACCACGGGAGCATCGTGTTCCCTTCTGCAGGCCAGAAATTTGCTTCTTCCAGAATCTGGGCTAGGTAGTGCCCTCCAGGATATTATAAAAGAAAAGAACTTCTTTTGAGACGTCTGTAAAGTTTATGGCTTTTCGTTTCTTTGAAGTATTGAGGTTTAGATAACCCAAAACAAACTCGAAGTTTTCGCTGTATTTTGAGATTCGGAACAATTTCAACTGTAATTGATATTTCGAGTGAATTTCAGATATCTTCACATATCACACAAACTGGGATGATAAACCTTATGAAAATGAAAATTCAATGAAGTCAATGAGAATCAAGTAAGCAAGGACCTCTTGTACTACTTCCTGCTGAACATTATTTAAGACGATACTTACAAAGCAACACGTATTAAAAATTTGCTGTTTGAAAATTTAGCTTATTGATTTCTCAACATATGTTCAATCGGGGTCAATTTCCTTGTACATGACTGGGAACCCTCTTGTTAAGACTAAGAGCAAAACATGTATCTTGCAATAAGCTCGGCATTATTTTTTTGGTCATACAAATTGATTTAAAGAATATTCCAATAACTGTTGATAACAGATAATAAATTATTCGTGTTAACTAAAATCATCAACGTGAAGTATTCTACAATTATTATTTATTTATATAAATCATGATCAGAACATTTTATACAATTATAGTATCGAAAATATACACCACCCTATTTGTATTTTTCGTGATTTAACATTAAACGTTAGCTATCCAATATGAATTCCTCTGTTTCTTTCATTGTCATATACATCATAAAATTCATATCCTCATCGGGTGTAATTACATCAGCTTCTTTGATAACTGCGTGATACTGAAAATGTATGTGTATATTTAGTCATTTACGTATGGTTTCAAGAGAATGGAATTAATCTGCAAAGATTATCTTCATTACTTTTCTCACATACTTGTTTTCTTCTTCGCAAAATCTCGGGCATGACTCAAGACTCAGTTAATCTACCTTTTTCGCATGACTTTTGTAAGCAACAGGGAGCAGTCTATCGATAACATTTTCTATTGTTTTTCCATCTACAGATCCGGTTCACTCTTTCACTGACTTCATTAGTCGCTCAAATTAACAATGTTCAAATTCGAACAAATCATGAACTCGAATGTGTTATCATAATCAGTATCTTAAAACAGATAACATCAATATACTGTAATCTTAAGAATCTGTACAATTAGTACCAGACATGTTGCTATGATTGTTGGAATAGGTGACAAATTGTATCCAAACCCTAGTTGCGATATGAACAGTTTTTCCCGGCTCTAAAGATTATTGGCATCAAGTTCAGTGTGTAAATCTCTTTCGGTGCTCAGATGCCTGAAAAAAAAAATTCAAATAGTAGAAAAGTGGTTTCTGAGTTGTCGTTCTACGCGTTTGATGTCTACATCAACACATGTATAATCCAGGATTGTCGGCTCCTTGTGTAGTACACATCGAAAGCTGTACCACGCACAACGAAAAAATCACCATAATGCCATGACGTAATACCTTCATTTTAAACAAGAACTTGGTTTTGCAGTCCCAAGGTCGTGGATGATGAATTTCAATAAGAACTTTGTCGCACAAATGTTGGTCTGGACTTGGTGCCGAGGTCTAAACGTCTCGTGTCACAGGAGGCCGCAGGTGTCTTTCATTCTACACAGAAATACTCCAAGAAGGCAACCACGAGAGACATTTGGTGAAGAGCTCGAGCCCCTCTTTCCTTCAGACCAGAGGTCGGCTTCTCATGGTACAAAGTAGGCTTCTGGATTACTACACCAGGCTTGCTAATAATCAGACCAGAAGAGGAAAGATTGATGAGAGACGGCAGGTACTTCGTGCACACTCACGAATTTCCGTAATCTGCTACAGAGGATGATGAAACCATCCCTAATAACTGTACATTCCTCCCACTGTAGCGAATTGAGCTCTCTTACCACTCTTACTCTTACTCCTGGATTTGCCTACCAAATCAGAACTACGGCTGAGACCTGAGAAATGCTAAGAGCAGGTGCGTTTTAAAAACCACCGGACTTTTCACCCTGACTTTCAAGACCACAAAGGAAATTGCATCGAATTTAACAATGCCTACTACAATTCAAGACGCAGGTGACAAGTTTTCAGGCCCAGCTCGTACGACGAGACAAGCGTATAAGGATTTGATGATATGATTCTCAGCCATTTCCATAGCTCAATCCTGATTCCTATGACTTCTTAATTAGGGCCTCCTTTTTCTTCTTCACATTCTTCGGTGGGACAGCTGTGGCATCAAATTCTGGAGCCTTGACAAGTCTTAAACGCGCTCCTTCCTTGCTTGCTTGGGTTGCTGCCTTTAACTCGTTCGCAGCATCAATAAATTTGGTTACTTCCTGTAGGGAAAAACAAACACCTCTTCAGCAACACACGCGATCATGAAGTAAAGGTAGTCATTCGCACTTAGGCTATCTACCTTCATCGACAAAGCATCATCTCACACTATAAGTGATTTGCATTTCTAACATGATTCTTCGTTCTCAGAGCAGTTGAGTAGCTTCAGCTGACCTTATTGACTTCCCAATCTGCGCCCTTCTTTGTGGGTGCCTTGAATTGCTTCCCTAGGTTCATAAAAACGCAACAAAGATTATAAAGAGAGCCGAATAAATACTACAAAAATCAAGTTGTGAGAAAGAACATTCTCCGGAGGTTGCTGCAATCACAAAACAATTCATCAAATTTTTACTAAAATCAGAAAACTGCAACGCACGTCCGGCGTTGCAAATGTAACCGAAATTCCACATCCCAAAGAACGGTGGAGTGAAATTAAAAATGTTCACCGATTGTATACGTAGTTCCGAACAAGGAAACGGAGATTACTAAATGTGGTAAATTTCCGTGCATATTTCTTCCTGTGTTTCATGCTTAGCTTCTCCACCTTTGAAAGCGCTTAAGAGTTTCAAAACACTTTTCAATCCAAGGATCATCCTTCGTGAAGGATACACGAACACTTCGATCCCATAGGAAAACTACAACACGGCAGCTACAGAAATCACCAAAAAACCTGCAAATTACACTGAAAGAAGTCACCAAACGTTTTCAAAATCGGAACATACCTTTGCGGATGTGTGGCTGCTTCCCGTGGCGATTTGCTGCTGTGCTCTTCTTCTGCTGCCCTTTGAACTGGGCGTTTTTCTGCGTCATTTCTGAGGTTTTCCTGTCCGAGACGCAATTTCCAGCACAACGAGACAAGAGGATTTCCGCCTTCCGAATTGCAATCTACCGCTAGCAAGGAGACCAAACAGCGAGCGCTCGCACTCGCTGGAAAAGAGAGCGATCGAGGTACACACTTCTCTCTTGGCTAGGGCTGGCCGCAGTCCATGGAACTTTCGGTCACGGTGACGGACCCGTCGTCGCAGAGTTCCGTGGTGCATGACGCGACGGTTGAGGATCCACGGCGCGAAGTTTTCAGGCCATGGTAGCAAGGCAGGCTAACCCCGTCACAAGGCTCACGTCGTAGATCAAGTCACTGATCAGTGAACGGGAAAAGAAAAAGGTCTATGAACTCAGAAAACATAAAAAACTAATAATATATTCATCTCAGTAAATTTTAAGCCTTGCATTTGTCACATCACGCTGACTAGAAACTGTAGCATCTCTCAGGATCAGTGCATGAATTCTGGTACAGTCCAGAATGTTACAAAAAACGAAAGCAGAAGCCTAAATGCTACAAATAAGAATGACTTATTTGTACACATGGAACCAATGTTACCTCGTTTCTTGATTTGCAAAGTATAGTTTTGATGTGGAATCTACGTTGCAAATAATGGGACTTTAACATCTTGATCTAGTTGCACGGGCTTAACCAACATTTGCCCTGATAATCGAAAAGTAGCACTATCTGAACTGCCCCACAGATCAGAATGGATCTGCTGCTACGCACGTCTGTCAATATTGGGTTAAAAAGAATAGGAGCTATAAACGAGTTACACAACATTGACAATCACAAAGAACATACCAGTATGGTTATTGGTCCATGGCCTTTCTTACATATTATATATTCTTGAGGCTAGCAAAATATAGACCTTCGACAGACTTATGGTAATTCAAAAAGTTTGTCATCATAAATGTGAATGTCATAGATGTTTGATAAAATTTTGAATTGTGAAATATATGCATTGCACTTGCAACGTATTCGTGTGCATATAATACGGCCATGAATGCCTTCGGTATACACATGGTGTTCATCATGAGTAATACAACAAATACCCAAACCATTTTTTGCACACATGAGTATCCGTATCTCAGAATCAAACCACAGTCTTCTTCATTATGTTATTAGACTTTTGGCTAGATCAACCCCGACCGTGAAGAAGTTATTACCCGCCCGATCACGCACACTCTGGATCCGTCAGTGTTCGAAGTTATTAGCTTCGATTCGTTGATCTAATTTGCTTTGGTTTCTTCAATGACTAGGGAAGTATGTATTGTTTGAAGGCACTCATAAAACTTGCACTAAATTTCTTGGTTGTTGAATGGAAACTCCAAGAAGTCATCCACCTGGGCTTGCACATGTGAATTATATGCCATGACAACATTTAATCATGTCATTGTTATAATTCTATTGAATATATCTTAGGCACTCTCACATTCATTTTCAAGTAACGATGACAGACGTAGAAACTTCTACACAAATTGTTAAATTGTAATTTGTCATGTTAATAAGACCAATTTTTAAGGAGATAATAAGTAACAAATTTTAGCTTCAAATCTGCTGAGGCTGCGGGGACAAGCAGGATCCTGAAAGATATCCCGTTTTTATTTCTAGATCTACTTGTGACTTTCTTCAATATTTTTCTTTTAAATTCGATACTGTGGAAATACTAATCATACCAGAAAATCGGAGAATGATAAGAAATAATTTTTCCTCATGAATTCCGATCTAGATAACCGAGTTTCCGGGAGGTGCAGCAGTTGCTCTCAAATCCGGGATTTACCCAGAAAGTGTTTTACAAACCTGTTCAAACCAGCCGTAATTTTTGTGTAGATCTGGGAGTAGGTCTTATGAGAATCATGAAGATATCAAAAGCAGAATCATCCTAACTTCTTATTTACAACTCAATTGAAGTGGGAAAACTTGTGGGACTCACGACTCATTCAACTAAGGCACGGAAAATGAGCACTAGACTATTCGTTTATAGTTTAGATGTTGACGATTATGGGAAGGACGATAGTGGAGATAGATTTAAAGTGCGCGATGGAAGGGCTTTACAGTGAATGAAAAGCCATAAAGCAATAAAGCTGTTCACTTTCAGCCTTCGCAATCGAGACCATTGGACCACCGATCCAATCAGATAGTGTGATCTTCCCGCGTGGTAGGCCTCTAATTAAACCACGGTCATGTAACCACCATATCCGATAGAGGGTATGCTTCAGTACAAGGTGTGCTAGCTAGTCATGGAGTTCAGAAGGTGCCGGGAAATAGAAATACCTTGAAAGACACTCATCTCCATTCCGGTACGGATTCCATCCGACTGCGCTGGACCATCGGAGAAAGTCCGCTTTCCGTCCAGTTTCCAACCACGTGGTTGGCCCACCGTGGTGCATGACGAAGTCAGCTACCTTGAACACTTGGCAGTTAACATCGTTCCAATATTGAATGCTTGTCAGCGACGAGTTTGTCAGACATGGTGATGTCGATGGGCAGAATTTGGAGTGCTTGCGCACACGAGTTTGTATTATATAACTTTCCAATTCAGAAAGCCAGACATTGCAAAAGCGAACCGGAGATTGGCAGTAAAAAAACACTGAGAAGCGAAATGTGGAACTCTGCACCTAAACATTTTCTAGTCCCGACGACTGCGACATTTTCGTATAACTTGATCAGATCCAAGCGACGCCAAATCAGAGGCTGACAACCTCTGTACTTAAAAATTGGACACAGAGAAGGGAATTGGACACGTCTCGGCAGGAACATTCCTTCTCCAAGAAAAAACGATGGACTTTCGTGACTATAATAAGCTCCTCACTAAAACCTACGCGGCAACATCAAAGCCTTGACTGCGCTTTCTGTCAGAAACCGAATCAAGCGAAGCTAAGCTGTGCTGTAAGATACATTGTCGATGGTGACCAGTTTTCGGCGATTTAATGAGATAATTGCACACTGGCGAGAAGGAATGGGCCTATGCCTTTGGCGTCATTTGTCACCACTTTCTCACTCAGGTAATACTCGTACGTGCCATTCCTGTAGTTCGAAGTGCCCCCGAGACCTCCCACGGAAACTGTATTGGTGAGATCGATGCCGCCATCGGCCCTGTCGACCACGAATTGCTTCTTGATTCCCTCATACCCAAATTTGGCAGCCAAATAGTAATGCGGCGCCAGGTAGCCCTTGTGAGCTCCTTTGGCCAGAGCATAGACGAAGCAGGAGCTGGCAGAGGACTCGAAGTAATTTCCTGCGCGACCGCCTTGGTCGACGACCTGCCACCAGACGCCTGAATCTTTGTCTTGGAAGTCGGTGAGTGCCTTGGCGAGGCGGCGGAGGATGTGGATGAGGTCGTCGCGTTTGGGGTGATCCTTCGGGAAGTAATCCAGAGTGTCGACCAGCGACATGGCGTACCATCCCATCGCCCGGCCCCAGAAGCTCGGCGACGTTCCCGTCACCTTGTTGGCCCACGCCTGCTCCCGGGATTCGTCGTAGCCGTGGTACAGCAAGCCGGTCTTCTCGTCGCGCGCATTCTTCTCCATCCAGATGTGCTGCAGAGCGATGTCGTCGTACTCCTCGGGCTTGTCAAACATTTTGGCGTACTGCGCTCTGAAGGGCTCGGCCATGAAGAGCCCATCGAGCCACATCTGGTAAGGGTAGATCAGCTTGTGCCAGTACCCTCCCTCCTTGAGCCGGGGCTGCCCTTTCAATTGTTCGTGCAGGAGGTCAGCTGCGATTTTGTACTTCTGCAATCCAGTCTTCCCGTAGAGAAAGAGGAGATTCGTTCCCGATCGAATGTTGTCGAGGTTGTAATCCTCGATCTTGAAGGTGGGAATTGAGCCATTCTCCGCCACGAAAGCATCGGTTCTGTTCACGATGAACTCGTAGTACTTGTCGACATTCGTCTTCCGCCACACACTCTCAATTCCGTAAAGCAGAGTTCCTCGCTCGTAGTTCCACTGCTCCTTTCCTGGACCGGTCGAATTGAAAATGTCCAGAGCAGTGTCCGCCATGCGAACGTACAGAGGCTTGCCGTGCTTCAAGAGCTGCTCGAAGGAGGAGGCCTCCAGAGGGCGTGCCGCCATCGCGAGCTGCGACAATGACATCCATGGGACGACACACAAAACGACCAGGAACCAAACCCCCTTCATCGATTGACCTCGTTGCCACTCTAACGACCTACAGCTGCCTGCAGCGGCACTCGTCGTCTTCGTGATTTTCTTCCTTTCGGTCCACTCCACTCCACTCCACTCCACTCTGCTCCAGTGCCCACCACCCCTGGCGGCACCTCGCAAAAGCTACTGCTGCTGCTGCTGATGCCTTCTCTCGACACCCACGCTCCTCCAGGAGGCGGATCAAACAATCCAGGCTCGGCGATTCGAAGCCTCCAATTTATATTATCATATGATTCTGCGAGAACCGGGCGGGCCACGCTCTGCAGCCTTTGCTTCTGGGTGGAATTGGATTCAGACTGGCAAACATGTCAGAGCGGAGGTCTATTTATGCTCGCCCTGAGCCTGAGGCTTATCACGTGCTGTGAGGTACAAGAGAGTACGAGCGAAGATGGTGTATGCCGTTACTGGAAGTTCGCGTTGACTTCCAGAGATGACGGGCCGCAAGCGGGAACGTAATCCATGACGTGTGGAAGTCGGTCAGACCGCTGGCGCTTGACGCGGTCGCAAAGTCCAACTCCTTCTTTGTTACTTGTTTGCAAATCTTACTTTTTGTTGCGGAGTTTCGTGATTTGCTTCCACTGAGGAAATTACTTGATGGAACCCGGGGAAACTCAAAACATTTGAAGTTTCACTTTTACCGGATGGGACCCCATCGACGGTGCGGCAGCCTCACCGTCAGTGATGTTCTAATAATATCTGGGATTATTTCTAGTAGAACATGAAGTCACGGCAAGACCATATCGGTGCCCGTAGTTTTCTTAAACATGGCTGCGAACAAGTCGCGAGAATACTCTGGCCCGTCAGTGGCGGACACTCCCCACTCTATGGAACAAATCACTAGGAGGTTATAAGAACATGGCTTCAGGTGGCCGTCGAATGGGTCCATTCAAGGGGTTTGAGTTTCCAAGGGGTCCCATCAAGTAATTTCCTCGCTTCCACTGGATAATTGAGTTTCCACGACTTACGCTCTCATGTGTTGAGATGTGGAAACACCCTCATCTGATTACGTGTTTCTCTGGCTTCTTACGTGTTTCAGTACAGTGATAGTCGGTGGCTCGATGATTAATGAGCATTGCGTCGGTGAAAGTCACAAGGCTTCGCGAATTACAACAAGCTGGATATGATGCCAAAATCTTCGCGGGCCTTGTGATGCATCCACTGACATTCTCAATGTTCGTGCATTGAAACTAACACTCGTTTGTGGATTTCGCACGGACTGTATTTTTTTTCTTTTAGTAGGGGCATTGCCTTCGACCAGTTTCTCCTGATCATCTGATCATCGGCCCGGGTTCTTGTAATTAAGAAAGGGAGATTGACAAATTATGAAAATTTGGTTAAAGCTTAATAAGTGCTAGTTTTCTTTCAGAACGTACCACGAAATTCATAATTCATTGTTATTACTGGGAACTTAACGAGGTAAATAACAATGGTAATCAGTCCCACTTATTTAGTGGTTTTCTAAGATCCTGAAGGTTTATTGCAGATATACGATGACAACTTGAGCATAGTAATGACCTGAGAGTGTATCAACTAGCACACAAATTGATCACGTGTTGATCGAGTAAATCAAATGACTCTCTCGAGCAATAATCACTGAAACACGAGTACTCCTAGAATAGAATCAGAATTAGTTTAAAACATGGAACTTTAGGACGAGGGCACACGAGTCTGTCTGCCAATGTGATGTAAGCGACATAAGTTTCAACTGAAATCTACCTACTCTTGAAGGATCTGCGCCAACGGTGTTTCTTCCGCATTATGGTTTTTAGTCATGGTTCAAACGACTCGTCGTCGTTCCTATCTCGAGATTTTCATTCTCTCGGTTGTGTTATTGCAAAATTTCTGTTTGCCGCTTTCGTGCTTCAACCACGGTATACATTGTCTGCTTACCAATGTTACATGCTGGATACGACACATTCATCTTTTACTCTAATATGACTTGACGAGTTGTTAACTCTGTCCACATGAAAGACACATTGTTACACCCTTGTTTTATCCAAAACATCCCGTGCCGTACAGACTAATCAAAAAAATTCTTTGATTGCATCATGCGATAACGGAGGAACTGTTGTAGTCACATGGGAGACAGTCGCTCTCTGCTCCAAAACCTTCAAGAATTGGCATACTTTTCGTCTATGAGCCATGTGCTTAGATAAACTGAATCGGCTGGAAAAACTTTCCTCAATTGACTCGGCTCTTGGGGCACTCGATTGGCTTATAACAATTCTCTACACGTCAGTAGGAGCTACGTGGTATAAGAAAACCTAACAAGCAAATGTTCACTAATTGGCAAGCTCAGGCGTACCAAGGCCTAAAAGGCCATTCAACACTCTTGTGATTTTGCAAGTACATAAACTAATGACATTTTAGAAGATAAGAGCAGCTGCTGGAAGGAGTGACCTGGAAGCAGCGTGCACCTCGAAAATTCCCTCGACGGCAGGCGTGGAAAGCTTCGAAAGTGGAAGCCAAAGTTGAGCAGGCCCTCGACTTTCGATGTGGGAACTCCTGATTCCGGCTTCCTTCTCCCAACCACGTAAAATTTACAGAGAGTGATCAAAATTTCCTCACCAAGGCTTTTAACTCTCCCGAGAAAGTAAGCTCGGCTCTGACAGAAAACAGAACCGTATTGGGTCTAGCCCCATCTTATTGAATCCTACGGATTCATCCACGTATGGTTTGAAGGGCTTCTCATCCTTTTTGTTATTTGTTTCGTACTTATCAGATACGACTTGATACAAGATGACAACCTTCAGGTCAAGTGTTATATGTTCTGCCGGCAATTCGTTCAGAAACACTCCGAAACTAGAGATGACTTGTCTATGGGTAAGATGCTGGATTTTCTTAAATGCTTAGTCTTCATCATGGAGAAGTAGATTGGGCTTCGTTACTAGAGCTCACGTCGTACAAAATGGAATGGTTCTCAGAAAAGGAATTCCAAAGAATGTCCATCCTAAGATAACCAAGGGCGAATGGAGTCTGATCACAAAGTCAAGGCCATAAGTACAATACAGTGCACGTGTCACATGTACGACGTGGTTGAGATTTCATTTGCGGCTTGTTTGTGTGACTGACCATGGTCTGAATGAGCTAAGGAAAGATGATCATGTGATGCAGCTTCCGTACACTGTCCACGTTGTTCGTGGTGAGATCACCTCAGATTTCGAGTCTTTCGTAGCTGCGATGCTATTCAATAGAATGTGCTTAATCAGCTGTGCGATGCAATGACCAAAGTACTTGACAAGAACCTTCAGCAATGCCAATGTTTGTCATAGATTGGACCGGTGAGTGATCAAAATGGTCGTGATTGATCCGGTTCGGTACATGCAAGGTTTTGAACCTAGTGATCACGTTTTTGGCTCCTTGTACCGGAGACTCCTGCTAAGCTTGTCAGACCAAGCATGAAACTTACACTCTCAACTGACAGTGTGCAGTTTACATACGCACAGTATCACTTCCTGATGGGTAGCTTCGTCATCACTGTAGGCATGCAAGTACTGTAGTCATATCCAGTAACCTCAGCTTAATCGATTCACTACAGGCCTGATTGTCTAGTTATGACCACCCACATCCAGTTCCACGGACTGCAAATCAGACAGGGGTATCATGGCCCCGCTATCTGTATCTGTGTGGTTGTCACTGGGTGATTGGGGTGTTTCCCATGTACTTCCTGCCCGTGGAGCACTGTAGGTTGACTGCAAAATCAGATCTTCCACAAGTCACAATAGATGAGAGCTGTAGTTTCTCTTTTACATGTAGACGTGGTCAACAGAACTATCTCAAATGCTCCTGCTGTGTGGACCTTTTCTGTGGTTTCGTCCATAGCTGACTTTCTAAATGACAGGTCATGCTAGACGCTAAACAGACTTTGCGCGGGATTGGTCTATCCAGAGCTTTACAAAATCGGCCAAAAAATGGAAGCGGACTTTCGATTGCTGAAGACTCCGGTGCAGCCATGGCATAAGATCTTCCCAAGCGGGTTTGAGTGATTTGCCGGGAAAGCGATGAAGTTTCAGTTAGTGATGGGCATGGAAAAGGTCAGCGTTCATAGATGTAGGTAATAGGTGTCAAGCTGTCCCTAAATAAGCACAAGAAGAAGTCGGTTCTGGTGAAGTCAACTGGTGAGTCCCTTGGTGCACTGTTCGCTTTGATTAGGTAGCTAAACAGATGTGAAAGCATCAAAGGATGCTGTTACGAGGGCTCAGAACAACCAGGGGCAGGAACGCTATTAGTTATTTGGCTGCTGATGCTCAGCGAATATGCTTCTTCTTCTGAGGTGAAGCTCGATCTCGGGTGAGCTGTAAGAAGTGAAAGTCATCGCCCGTCATGAGTGAAGAGAAGATAAGAATCTCGAGTACTCGTGACCGCCAAGTTTGGTGTGAGGTTTAGCTTGAACAACTCGATCTCGTGTCACAACAGAGTTATCATGTCGAAAGTCAGAGGCTCCGAGATCAAACGCATTCGACGGTTGTCAGTTATGCAACCAATGTCTGACGAGACAGGAGAAGTCAACCAAGGCTGGAAGCTGCACATCGAAAGGTGAATGCTTACAAGATAAACCGCAATCAGGATTTGTCACTCTCGTAGGTAATGTTCGATAAGAAAGAACGAGTCAAACATGTCTGCGAGCAGCAAACTCTGGGGCACTTTGGGACCAGGCTTTCGAGAAGTCAATGAAGGTCGAGAGATCTATCTACGAGCTCAAGCCCAGTTTTGCGAAGTGGGGCAGGGATGATCATGCTGTACCTCCAGGCCTGCGAACCAGTGAAATGAAAGTCAAAGGCCTCTCCGCTCTCTGTTTTCGATGAGAATCTACTAAGAGTCAACCCTTCTTCAAGGCGAAAGCCGAGATTGCAAAGTTTCCGGTTGGTCAGTGCAGCAACCGCCTGAGAAAGTTTCAAACAGCCGTAGCGATGATATAGGCACGCAAGGGAAGTTGCAGCAGCAGCAGAGCTCATGAAGGACTGAGGACGAATTCGAAAGCACTTCTGCTAGCGCCAGTATTTATCACACCGTAGAATTACAAGAGCATTATGGAGCAGATTGACATGTTGTGGCTGGATGCATCGTCCGATTGATGGCAACAAACAACAAGAGAGTGACGTGAATGACCATCTTTTATTAACATTAGCCGAAGAACAATTCAAAGCCACATTCTCAGGTTCAAATCACACACGTGTATTGCACGGAAGTTGTGGACCTTCTGAAGGAAGAAGAGTCGATTCTAGTTGCTCTCAATCTTAGTGGTCGTTGAAATTGAGACCTCATCTTCTGAGGTGGAAAGTGACG